AAAGCAGGGAACAGCGAAAAACGTCAATCAGCTACAAAAACCATACGTTATCGTTCTGTAAAAACATACGACAAACTCATTTCATTTTTTTTTATACTTTTGCTATGAATCTTGGTAAGGTACATTAGAAAATATAGAGGGTCGAGTATAAAAGCCTCTTTCGAAGCACCAATAAATTGATGTAAAAATTGAAGATTGACAGCATTTCACTCGCTGTCACCGTTGGTTTTGCTGGGCTTGGAGCTGGAGACAGAGCGCGCGCGTGCGTCGACCACTCGAGTCCGATAAAACGCATAAGAGATCTGCTGTTTGGAAGCTATGTAAACAGCTATTGCATCTGTTTCGAATGGGCCACTCGAGAATACGTAATATACACTCGAATGTCTTTAGTGCCCGACAAATATTCCGTTGTGCGACGCTAAGCAAAGCAAAACAGAGCATTTTCTCGAGAGAGCTGGTGCCCCCCTCTTGTGAAGATCGTCGCTTGCGCGCCATAATTCGACCTCAAGGGTCGTAAGCAATTTATTTGTTCGTCACCCGCCAGAGCTTGCATACCGCTTTAGCCTGTCAGTCTGTTGTAACGCAAGAGAGTGCATATTATAGCTTCTTTGAGTTGTCGTTTCGTTGTAATGTTACGCAGGCTCGATATTTCAAGGGTGCTGCTTGTCTCTATTCGCGACACTCGTGAGCCGTTGTATCGTCGTCGCTCACGGTCAATTCGCCGTGAAATCCTTGAAAATAATTTCTCGTTAATCAATTAGTTAACAATTGAAAATCAACGAATAAGATCGATATTTTTGCATTTTGTTTCTTCGGTTAACGATTATCTCTTCGTTGGTGAGTTTAAGCCGATAAGAAAGCTGTTGTTTGAGCCTATCGGTCGTTTCAATAAACAATGCACGAGCGCATGCATATAATAGAAGATAATGACGAGAACTGACGCTGTGAATAGATGACCGAATGGAAGTTTGTCAGCGGCAGATTATACAGATACACAGGGGCAAACAAGATGAGCGTAAGATTAAGAAGAAAGGTTTCTCGCGGGGCATCGCTCAAAGAGCAGTGTGCATTATTACGAGGGCGCTTAAGCCATACAAGTTTAGTACCAGTCCTGTTTCTCTTCGCTCTACACGCACTGCAGCACGTCCGACCACATCTGTTGTCTCCTCTCTCGCGTAGCAGCTCGCAACGGCTCGGATTACTCATGACACTTAGATTAGACCGAAGCGACCCGGATTCCCTTGTTCGCAAAAGCGCTTATCGTCAAGATAATGGCGCGTATCTCCTGCCCTCGTCGAAAATTCCTTAAACGAAAGAACCTTACCGTCGATCTTTTCGCCACGCCGAAGCGAGCCCAGCTATGTACATATGCCACGTAACGCGCGCATATTTACGCCCCGAGTCACGGCTGATATTTGCCGATGCACGTCGGTTTCGGTTGCTCTATCTGCTTTGCGCGCGTACTCGACGTTCGATCACGGAGATGTGAACGAACTGGAAGCCCAGTTGACGTGAAATCTAGCGGACACGTGCGCCATGCCAAGTTGTGTTTGGAAAGGTTGATGGCCAAGTGAAGGGCACGGTGGGAGGAGGAAGGAAGGTCGAGGAAGGCCGCCTGACCGGACGGCAGCTGATCCCGCCGACGTGATACTCGAGCGCGGCGTGCAACGCGCATCTTCGTGCTCCCTCGCGACACTCTTTATCTTCCGCAGCTGCGCCAGGCAACGCGAGATCCACGCCGCTTTCCTCTCTTGCTCTCTCTCTCTCTCTTTCTCCGGCCGCGGCGAAACATTTGATAGTCGTGCAGCGCCGCTCCTCTTTTCTATAGCGAGCTGCATACCTGCGTCGCTTAGCTTTCCATGTCTTTGTTCGCGCCGAGGCAGCGAGAAACCATCTCGCCGACATTTTTCCCCTCGCGACCAGCGCGACGTCGCTCGTCCGAGTACTCTTCTCTTTCCTTTTTTTCTTTCTGTCCGGTGCACGTGATGCTTTTCTAACTCTATCCCCCCTCCTGTGCCCTGTCAAACCAACCCCAACAATCCATGCGCGCACTCAATGGAGCAATACGTTATTTCTTGGATCAGTGGATTCAATCCTATTATCCAAGCTTCTTTCCACATCACGCGAAACAAATATAAGCAGCGACGCAGAAGATTCACGAACTCGTTAGCTAGCTAGCGATAAAATTGATAATGTACTTGGCAGTCGAGACCCAGTTTTCATGTGCACGACTTAGGCCAAGTACAGCCGACGCCTCGCGTCGCACGCAATCTGCAAGTCTAAGAGACATATCACACTTTTTAGACTGGAAAACCTAGAGATTTGGAAGTATTTATATCGATGGGCTCGACAGAAAATTGGCGCTTCGTAATAACAATTAAATTGCAGTTGCACGCAGTTAGAAAAATAATAATTTTGAAGCGATCTAGGTTTTGTAGCTTATTCGTTGTGGTTTTCGATCATCAGCGTTTGTATATATTGAAATCAGGGGGCGAGGTCCTATTAATACGTGCGTGTGTCTCGCGCGAACGAATGTAACAGCTGTTGATCCTATCACGACCCTCGACTTTGTGTATTTATAGTTTGAGTATATACACAGTAAACGCCCATCCAATTCATACACATAGCAGTTGCACTTATTTGCACCATAGGGTATCGTGCAGTATAATAATCTAATGTTTATAATAATCAATATATCAGCGTATTATATGTATATTATACCTCGGCGTGTGCGAGGAGTTTGGTCTTACGGGAGAGCCCAATCAAAAACTTGTTCAGCGAAAAATGTTGGACCGTAAATAACTTTATTAAAACGGATGGTAATTAAGTCTTTCAATTTGGCCGGTAGAAGCGACGTTACATTGGTGATGCGTTAGCGAGACAATAAATTTATGATATTCGTCAGAGACTGGAATGGCCCCTCTCACCGCATAGAGTACCGCCGTGGAGAACGACGTGCGTCTGCAATATTCATTGATCGGCGTGAGCATATCTTCCCACAGCCTCTCGCGCGCGTATCGCGATTTTCAGCAGCACGTAACCGCGTGCAGTTACAGCCAGGTATCTATGAAAGCTGCATCTCTGCTACGTTCGTTGCGGCCGATTTACTGGCTGTATACTTGTCTATTGATATAGCTAGATCGCGTTGCTTGCCCTCGTGTCTTCTCGGCGGATTACGTGCTTTCAATTAGTCGGCCAACGGCTGCCCGACCATTAGATCACAGAGTCCGAATGCCAGTGGTAAAAAACATTAGGCAAAAAGCGAGAATGGCTGTTAGATACTGCAATCGTCCTGCTCGGGGAGGGACTTGGCCGAGTGCCTTTAATTTATCGGGACAGCCGCTCGGATTGCCGGTCTATTCCGGTGGTCATGCCCCTTGGATTGCCTGTCTCCGTCATTGGGCCGTTCATCATCTGGCGCGTAGTTGGCCAGCCGCACAGCGAAAGATCTCGCGGTCTGTTCCGAGAAAGCAAGCAGTGCATTCCGCGCGGGGCACAAGTCGCCGCGCGAGCTATCGCTGCCAGTTTCCGTCCAGCAGCTCCCTCTCCTTTCTCCTCTTTCCTCGCTCCTCTCTCCGTCTGCTCCTCCGCTGTACTCGCGGAGCTCCGTTGCTGTCGGAGGACAACCTCTTTGCAGACGATTCGTCCTTTGGCGAGCGCTCATCGATTGCCAACTGTGGCTTCATTCGAGCGAGTTCCATCGAATTTGCATTAACCAGAAAACTCATTCAACGCAACTCGATGCCTAGCTCTTACGGTGGCGACGGAAAGCTGTAGAGGCTGCGAAAGTGCCACCTACGCAGTCGTCGCTCGTTGCATCGTCCTTATCGCCAGTCAATTATCTCTTGGAGCTTGTTATTACGGAACTTACGGAGCGCGCGTGCACGACCCACGTCATTCGCCTATGGATTTGCACAAAAATGCCGCGATGATCCGTTAATTGTTGCACGCGCAACACGAGCTAAGCGAGGTATTCGTCCATTAGGCTCAAAATTCATCGTTAATCAAATGCGGGCGCATTGGATACGCGGGCACAGTTCGATCGCGAGTAATTAGGTGCTTCCATCATCCGAGCGCACGACTGTTCTCGTGAGCCCGCCAGGCTTGGCACACGGCGTCGACCAAGCAGAGAGGCATAAAAGAGGACGGACGATCGCTATACAGCCACCTTCAACCCGACTGCGCGCTTCACTTTCAACGTCTTCTCCTCTTCTCCCTCCTCCTTCCCTGTCTCTCTATCTCTCCCCATATCATCCGATCACGGCCTGCTTTTTTATTTCTCCTGTCGTTTTCTTCACTAGTAGCTATCCTCCGGTTGGGCCAACGAACGGCCTTCTCCGTTCACAAATTGTTTTATTGCCCCTCTCTGTTGCTGCCCACCTGCCGTTTACACTCTGTTACTCGACTCACCACGTTATAATTGTATTAAGAGCTACTGAAGCTGCGCGTTGTTCGGAGATGGGGATGGGATGATTCGAAAAGTGTACGTAAACAAAGCGATCTCGAGGAGGAGATAAGCGTGGATAGTGGAAATATAGGTTTTTTGAAATGGAACGGCGTTAACAATGAAGAGCCATCTGGCTCGTTGCATACGCATAAACGCAGCCCAACGCTGCTGCTCTGCAAAGATTCGAGTTGTCCGACTGGTGCGAAAGCATCGCTGCTCGATCGCAGCCGAGTTTCCTCGTAAATTTGAACGGCGGAAAGCGGCAGAGGGGCGATCGAAGAGCCAGCAGGCGCGCGCGAGAAGGGGTTCGCTTCGGACACGCAACGGGCGCATAGCGGGTCGCAGCGCACGGAAGATCGAGGATGGATGCGGCGGCTGCGCGACAGCTTCCGTCCTCTGCGTCGGATGCGGGGATGCGAGCCGGACCAATCGGCGGGGCCCCCGAGCGAGCGCAGCTGGCGCATGCATGCCTTTCCTACCTACCGGCCGCTCGGGCGCTCGGGCGCTCGGCCGCAGCCGCAGCCGCAGCCGCAGTCGCAGCCAGGCGCCTCAGTCGACAGAGCACCGGCGAGCAGCCAGCACGTCTCTCTCCTGCGCCCCGCTCTCTTCGGCTGCCGTTCTCGCGTCCGACGAATCGCGTGTACGCCCGAGCGAGCGTCGGCGCGCGCGCGACGCCAGTGAATTGCCGTTCGGTTGCGTGATTCGAGCGCAGACCCGGGCTCAAGATGGTCCGAGGATTGTCGCAGTGGACGAAGACGCTGAGCTTCCCGGCGAGGATGTCGCCGCAGCGCCAAGCCAAGGAGGCCAAGGCCTTCCACGCGAGCCCGAGCGTCAGTCCCACCTCGGCGCCCAGTCCCGTCAGCAGCGAGAACCTACTCGACAAGGCGCTCATCATCGCCGACCACGAGGTGATTAACCAGCCGTTTCTCTCCGTAGGCCGCGTGTACAGTGTCCTATTAATTGCCGATCGCTGCGCTCGATCGGCTCGCGAATGGCCAAATGTAAAACGGCTGTTCTGCCGTGCTCCTTCCTCTCGAGCCTCGTGTTTACTTCGGAGAATAGGAGGTAAGCGACGGGAACAAGTTCGACACCGGCACCGACAGGCAGCAGCCGCGTTTCAAGCATTCCACGAGTGCAACACGGGCATAGCGTACACGTAGGCTTTTAAGATAGGTCGTGCTCTTCTCGGGAAAAGCCTTAGTCGTAGCTGGCGTTGCGGCCTGTGCACTCGCGGCTGTGAAATCGATGGAAAAGCTCCAGCTACCATAGAGAGATAATCGGTGATCAGTCGTGCATCGATCGGTTGGAGAGGCAGGCACGCAAGCCAATTTGACGAGTAGCGCCCGAGAAGGAAAAGTTGCGATGCCACGCGAATCGGCCCTGCTCTGTCTTTCCGACAATGGGATGAACGATAAACGAAACGCGGTTAGAGAGGCCGATCAGATGCATCGAGCGCGACAATGTTCCTCTCTCTGGTAGCCACTGAGCTTTGGACGCATGGGTGTCAATATAGAGGCGTGACGATGGCTCTTTGGCTCGATTGAGACGCTCCGCGCAGCCCAGCTCCCTTTGTCCCGTTTTTATCCGCGTGGCGAAGCTGACGAAGGATACGCGCGTTTCCTTTGTCGAGCATGACCTGGTTGAGCTCTCGACGTGCAGCGCGGGAGACGATTCGGAAGTTTCTGTTTGGTCGACCCAAAACATCCGTACCGGGCACGCGTAATCGAGTTATTTAATAGCTACCTCCGGCTCGGGCGACTCGAAGAAGCCTTGGCTGGATAGAGAGAGAAAAGATTCGTCTTTGGAGCTGCCACGCTGAGTGCGCCGATGACTGCGGTGTGGTGTCCAGATGTTGCAGTTGCGTGGCTATTTTGGATTGCGCGACGAAGCTCCGCGTCTATTTACCTCGCAGTCGATCCGTGTACGCCGAGGGGGGGGGGGGGGGGGGAGGCAGAGTCAAAGACGAAAAAAGGAGAGCGACGCGAGTAAGATCGGCAAAGCTTGTGCCGCGTGCACGGAAATAGAGAAAGAGCGCAGTTTACATACATCTCCGTTGACAGATGTTTCGTGTTACGGTATCGCGCTGTTGAACGCGCTCTCAGCTCGGAGCGAGCCGTCTGTAAAAATTCGCAGCGGTTTATTATTAGATAGGGATCACTCGGGCTTTCGCGCCTCCGAGACTCCAAACCGAGAAAGCGCCGGCCACCGAGATACCGACGTTACGCAGTGAAAGCGAAGCACTCGCGGGCAAAAGAGCTTCTCAAAGCCTTCTCAGAGCCAATGAGCGCCGATGCGAAATCCACTCGGCTTTCTCAACGGAGCGATCGTGCAGTCGGCAGGTTGCGCGTGGCTGCTGCGGCTTCATCTTTTCCGGGAAAATCGACAAAGCGAACTCGGGCGTACGCTGGCACAGCCTAGGCGTCGGTGTTTTCGCGGCTCGAGACGTGCCCGAATGTGCGAGCGCCTCGAGCGCAGCCGACCGGAGAGGCGAGCTCGCGTGGCGTCGATCGCACTCGCGGACGGGGTTCCCAGCCGAGGGACAGCCCGACGGATTTTCATCGTCGATCGGCCGCGAGCGCATTGAACTCCGCAGCGACAAACGTTGCGCGAGCGCAGGCCCGAGCACTGCGCGGAGAAAGAGAAAGACGCGCAGCAGCCTCGAGGCGTTCGCGAGGAGAGGAGGGCCGAGGCGAGCCGGCTCGGAAGCGTGGGAACGGCCCGAAGCGCGCGCGCGCGCGCGCGCGACCGATCTCCAGTCTGCTCGAGCGCCGACACGCGACCGTCAAATGCCTCGCCGCTAGGATTTCTAGCCGCGCCTCGATCGGCGCTCGCCGTGCAAGTGCTCGCGCGCCGCAACGTTGCGCAACTGCCGAGTGTCTCGCGAGCAAGTTCTTTCGTTCGACGAGGCGCATCGGCATTCGGCGCTGTGCAGCGCGATCAGCGAGAGGAACAATGCCACGGCGGCCAGCCCGACAACCGGTTTCTCCTCCTCGCGCGAGTATCCGCGGACTCGGTTTGCGCGTAGGAGAGGGCTACCGATGCGGCAGGAGGCGCGTGAAATTGAGACACGCCCGGGGGATAATGCCACGCGACGCCCAATCGTCATAATTGACGACGGAAGCCCGCCGAGGAACTTGCGACGAGCGAGGATTGGAGCCGCGCTACGAACGTAAACACGAGTACGGACGAGCAGGATGAAAAGCAGCTAGGTAGGCCACGCTTAATTAGCCATTGTAAGAACGCCAGTCGAGACCAGTCGAAGCGGCGAAAGCGATGCATATACGTCGGCTGGAGCAACGAGCAATCGCGCTCTTTGTTCGGGTTCACGACTGCGAACGGCTTCATCTTCGGCTAGGCCGACGCGCCTTGTATAGGAAAGCAGAGAAACGAATTGTTCGATTATGTAATTTGCTCGCCTTCGCCGGGCTGGCTGCCGAGCTACCTACCGGCCAGTACGGACGTTCCAATTTTCCGGAACTCGTTTCCTTCTCCGAGTGGCTGCGCGCTCACTTCTATCGGGAAGGCGGCCTCCCAAATCGAGCAGAGGTCGATTAGGCGCGTGGGATCGCTCGCTGGCGAGTCGCTCGGACAAAGCGAGCGATAAGCTGGCCCGAGGTATTAGCAGGCCATCGAGCGCAATCACAAGTCCTGCGGACTGCGTTTGGACGGGGCCGTGTGTCCGGGTAGGCTGGCGCGTCGTGCGATAAGCCGATAAGGAGAGGCCCCCCGTCGTTGTCCACGCGTGGTTTATTCGTGCGCGCGCGCGCGCGCGCGATCGGACCGCATTAGCAGCGATTTTCCTCGACCGATGGTGGTCGGCTGATGGCCGATGAATCAGCAGTCGCCACGGGGACAGCGCAAGGCGTAACTCGCACCGCGTGTGCGTACGGCGAGTGCTGCAGTGCTCCCGCCGGGTCAACCGAGCGAGCGCAAGTCCCAGGACGCGAAAGCGGACGGCCGAGGGTCGCAAGAGGCTTCGCGGGTAATTTCTCAAATTCTAAGCTCGCGATAACCAGGCAGACTCGGACTCGGGCTGCCGGGCATTCGTTCAAATTGTAGGCTCTCGCGGGCGGCGCCTCTCTTATCGAGCGCTTCGCTGGCTGGCGCACGCAGGCAACGCGTTCCGTTGCTCGCGACGGAGTGCCAGGCAGCACTTGTCACGCGAGAGGTCCGTTCCCGCGGCTTCCTTTTTCCCCTCGGGCCGTCTAGCCCGCGCTTAATTTCGGCGAGCGCGCACCTCCGACAAACACGCGGTTCGCACTCGGCTCTCGTACTCGGCACGCACTCCACCACCACGGTCTACAGCGTGGATGCTCGGCTCAATTGGGGGGAGTCATTGTTCGGCGTGGAGCCGCTCTTGCCAGACAGGATAGGGCGTGGGCAGGCTCGTCCGGAAGTCGCCGCGACGTCTGTGCGCCGTTGTCTTCTTCGCGGAGAGCGAGCGCGGCCTGTCGGTCGCTCGGTCGGTCGGTCGGCGATCGGATGCGCGCGCACTAGCTACCTGCCAAATTACGCGCCCAGTTGTCGTCCCGCTCCGTGGAATCCGGCGAGTCGAAAAGTGGGCCGCGGGCAACGTCCTTAGCAAGGACGCTCGCGCTTTCGAAAGCGGCAGCAAGCGGGCTGGGACCTATGTTTCGGTGCGCGCAGCCTTTCTCTCTCGGAGAGCGAGCTACAGGCCCCGCATACCGGCGTCCGAACGCACAGGACGAGTTCGATATGCGCGCGTCTTCTGCTCCTTTGTCTCCCGCTCTCCTCCCCGACTCGCCGGCCGCGGGATAGGATATTGGTTGGCGAGCCGCACGATCACCGTTCTCTTGCATCGTCAGACCGGAACAGAGAGCTCGCTGCGATATTGTCGGCTCGTCGATAAAATACAGGCTCTCGATAAACGCAGATTTTATAGGCGCTGACGTCAGGTCGACGGTCTCGGAATTCTGTGGCGCGGGTGTGCTGCGCCTCGCGGCTCCTGGACTCGGCTGCTGCAAAGCGCGATAAAGTTAGTCTCGCGCCTATCTGTTTGCCCACACTAATGCGTCCACGCGTGGACCCGCACTCGAGTTATTTATACGTACGCCGGCTGGCCGAAAGAGGAGCCCGTGCTCTGCGCACTTAATTGTACGCCGATCGGCGCGATCCACTCGGCAGACCGTTCAAAGGTGTCTCGTCAAAGCAATCCAATGACGTAAGAGTGACGAATAGCGTATCGGGGGAACACGCGGAAGGTTCGATTTTGTCCGACGGTTGTAAGCTGTATAGCTGGCGAGACGCGACAGCCGTGTAAATATTACGCAACAGCGCCATCAATTGCCTCGTGGACGTTTTCATCGAGCCTCAAGAGAACAAACGCGCAGTTTGGAGCTGGCCAAACGCTTCTCTCGGCTCGTTTGCCTAATTGAGCCGAGCGTCTGTTGTATATGGAAGAGAGAAATAAAGCTGCTAGTTTGTCGCAACGATCGTATTATAATGAGCGTCTGCGAGTCCGAGGTGCACGCGCAAGGTGAACGGCCCACGCGCGCGGCTATCCTATCCGCAGGCTTCACGCCCGTTTTCCTCGTACGTTCGATCGACTGGCCATCGAGTTTGCGCAGTGATTCCAACTACAGCCGTTGGATTTTTTCATTTTATCCATTGTTTCGCGGCATTTTCGAGAGCTGCACAAACAAAATGGAAACTTTCTACGCGCGCGCGCGCTGTAATCGCGACATTGCAAAAGGAAAGTAAATCGGGTCCGACCGTAAAGTGGTCTGTTGCGCAGCGGAGGTTTCGACCAGGCGGAATAAAGAAAACCAGCTCTCTCTCTCTCTCTCTCTGTCTCATCGACCTTGTGCAGGTTGCAACCAGTCTGCGATCTCGCTCGCGCGTCCGTGCCTGCGCGAGCGCGCACCTTGGACAAAAGAGAAAGACGCTGGTGTTCGATAGACTCGATTTGGTTGTGGCAGCCAGCCGCAAATTTCCGTGACGCACTGGCCCGCTGTTCGCTCGTTGATTATCGATATCCGAACTGCAACGGGTCTTCGGTGGGCTCGTGACCGCGAATGGCAGAGGTGGACCCTCGGGCCCGCGCCGATAGAGATATCCAGAAGACGCTCGTCCGCATTCCGCGGCGCGCGAGCGTCGACGTCTCTGCTCTCCCACGTAGCCGCAGTCGTCTCCCGCTGCGCCATGTTCGCCAGAACGAGCCGGTCCGGGAGAGCTTTCCCGGAAAGTGGAGCTAGCTTGGCGCATCCGCGTGCCGCCGCCTCGACGCATTGTTTCGTCCGGCGGGGCGCGCGACAAAGAGTCAAACAAACGCGCTTCGGCGACGTATTTATTTGTTGGCGTATCGAAGCGCCGAATCGTAAAGGCGCGCGGCAAGGTGCAAACGGCTTTATTTGACCAACTGGTTGATGTTTTCGCGCGTTGCCGGCGCAGGCAGGCGCGGACGCGCCGACGCAGACCTCCCGTGCCGTTTCTTTTCTCTTTGCTCTCCGACCGGCCGACGACTTCCGACGACTGACGCGCGCCTCGGTAGTTTTGATCCTCGCCGTCCTCGGATTTACGAAGCGGCGGCGATAGAGCCTTTGCCGCCGATCTCTCTGTTGCGTCTGCCGCCTGCCAGTAGCCCCTCGGCTAAGCCGTGCGTGCTCTGATTGCAGACTTTCCAAGACCTGGAGGCGGAGAAGGCTATAATGAGCTCGATCGTCTACTGCATCCACCACAAGGACGGCTGCAAATGGTCGGACGAGCTCCGCAAGCTCAAGGCGCACTTGGGCAGCTGCAAGCACGACGGCGTGGCGTGCAGCAACAAGTGCGGCGCGCTGGTGCCGCGGCTGCTGATGGAGGACCACCTCAAGTACAGCTGCGCCCAGCGCCGCGTGCGCTGCGAGTTCTGCGCGCAGGAGTTCGCCGGCTACAACTTCGAGGTGAGTGTGCTCGCCGAGCGTCGCTCGGGCCGGTGGTGGCTGGCTAACCGCGCGGCGCGCTTGCAGAAGCACCTGGGCAACTGCGGTTTCGAGCCGCTCTACTGCGAGAACAAGTGCGGCATGAAGGTGCAGCGTCTGCAGCTCAGCCAGCACAAGGCCGGCGAGTGCGCCAAGCGACTGGTGGCCTGCCGCTACTGCCAGAAGGAGTTCGTGTTCGACACGCTGTCGGCGCACCACGCCAAGTGCGGCCGCTTCCCGGTGGCCTGCCCGCGGCGCTGCGAGACGGCGGTGCTGCCGCGCGAGGACCTGGAGGCCCACCTCAAGGAGCACTGCAGCAGCCAGCTGCTGGCCTGCAGCTTCAAGGAGGCCGGCTGCCGCTTCAAGGGCAACCGCTGCTCCGTCGAGCAGCACGTCGAGCAGGAGGCCAAGAGCCACTTGGGTCTGGTCTGCGGCCTGCTGGCCAAGCAGCAGCACCAGATCGCCAGCCTGAAGCAGGCCCTGGCCAAGCTCTCGCTCAACTACTCGGGCACACTCGTCTGGAAGGTGAGCGACTTCGCGGCCAAGCTCGCCGAGGCCAGGGCCAAGGAGGGCGTCGAGCTCGTCAGCCCGCCCTTCTACACCAGCCAGTACGGCTACAAGCTGCAGGTGAGTCGCGGTGCGTCGCGGTGCGTCGCGGTGCGTCGCCCTCGACCGACTCACAGGCCCGTCACTCGCGCTCTCTCTCTCTCTCTTTCTCTCGACAGGCCTCGCTCTTCCTCAACGGCAACGGCACCGGCGAGGGCAGCCACGTCTCCATCTACATCAAAATCCTGCCCGGCGAGTACGACGCGCTGCTGCGCTGGCCCTTCTCGCACAGCGTCTCGTTCACGCTGCTCGATCAGGCGCCCGTCGCCGACAAGGCCTGCAACATCGTCGAGAGCTTCATCCCCGACCCCACCTGGAAAAACTTCCAGCGGCCCAGCCGCGAGCCCGACTCGCTCGGCTTTGGCTTCCCGCGTTTCGTCTCCCACGAGATGATCAGGAAACGCCACTTCCTCAAGGACGACACCATGTTCATCAGGGTCAAGATCGACCCCAGCAAGATCGTGGCGGTCTGAGCTCGCTGCCACCTGTCCTTTCCCTTCCAGTCGCACGGCTCGGCTCGCGATTCCCCCCCCCCCCCCCCCCCTAGACCCACCAATCTATGCTCTCGTGCGATTTCCTGCAGTCAGTCAATTCTTTTCAATTTTTCAGCCCCGTTAGAAAAGTTGTTCAAGAATGTCGAGTATATCAAAGATTATCGTGTAGTTTATCAGACAGCCTTGCCAGTACTTATCGTTACATGTAGTATTGCAAAAGGTTTTTCCAAGCACTCCGTTCTGCGCGGAGTGCCAATGTAGCGCTAAGGTTTTTCACTATTGTCACTACACCAACTCAATACTCCAATATTCATCTCAAGCGTTTATTGTCCTTGTAATACTGGCATTTTCTACTAGCGGAATGTGCCTGCTCTCTGACCATCCACCTAATATTGCGCGCTTTCATACTCCCGTGTGTTGTTCTTTCAACATTTATATCGTTTCAACGGGTTTTCTTTGATCGACATCACGGCGTCTCCGAGTCTTATACTGTAATATATTCTGTAAATAGTGTTGCAATGACGTAGCTACCGAAAACTATTAGAGGTTTAAGTAGTCTTGTAAGTGTACATATGTATTTGTATTATCGAATTTTAGATGCAGAAAATGTGATTGAAATGCTAGTGAATGCATCTTATATATCGTCATTATTAATGCGAAATCAAAGAGAAATATAATAAATTACATCTTAAACTGCCCACATTGTCGTAGCATTATTTTAATGAAACCTTTATTTCCAGCTACCAAGCGACGATCTTTTTGACATTTGAATGATTATTATTTTATGTTATGTATGCTTCTTTGCGGAAAACTATTCATATCGAGACTTTTATTCTTGTGATATTATTAATTACGAAAGTTCAGCTTTTCTTTTTCGATCATTACGTTAATGTTTATTTTAATTGAGTCGCCGTATATGTGAGTAACATGCACTACAACCTCGAGAATTTATTTAGGAACAATTACTATGATTTTGTAATTTTTATTTATACGACGCTTCATAATAGAGACATTATTCTTCTCGAAAACATATTTCAATTTTGTGCTAATTAAATTTATACTTGAAACTTTACCTTATGTAAAAAATTTTATATTAATTATAAGTCAAATTCATACTTTATAATGTAGCGGGCAATCTTCAGCTGTAACACTTGATTTTGTTCTTTTGTAAAACTTATGCAGAATTATTTTTTTCTTTCCTTTCATTTTTTTTTCTTAAAAGAGAGAATCTTGAAAATTGAAGCTTATAAACGTTTTGATTGGTCTATCGAAGATCGGGATTTTAATATTTGATGGTTGACCTATACGATTTTATGTAATTCGGCACAATTTTGGAAATAACATGTGTGCTTTTAAATTAGATTAGATTGATATAAATTTATTTAATTCATTATTTCCTTTATACGATTCATATAAAAATTATATTAAATTATGAATATTGTAAATAATTAGTTGTACTTATAAAATTCATCATTGATTTGGAATTTCGGCTGTGACTTTCAGCTCACAATAGCGAACACGTTTGCTCATTTACCAATCCTCACTATACGTATTAGAAAATTAACAGTTTATTTCACTTTTATGTTATATACATTCGTATTTTATTTAAATACAATTTTTATTCAAGTAAAATAGTTGGTGATAACGATGGTATATACTACAATGGAAAAAACTGATTTGTTGCCTGAGCAACTAAGAATGTAAATAGAGTTTTTGTTTGATTATTTTATTTAATTAGTGATTGGTCTATTTTCAAATCAAATTGTAAAATTAATTATTTATTAAGTTATAATTTTCAGATAGAAATGAATCTATTGTTGTTATTCATTTGCTATTTTTTGTTATTCATGCTATTTTTTTATCGGATATCAACAACAAACAAAAAAAGCACAACTTAAATAGGATGAAAAATTAGAAAAAAAGAAAAGTATTCAACTAAGATGAAGCTGTAATAGCTCCTAGATACGCTTCAGATTTTTTTTGTATTATTTCTCGAGAAACTGTACAATCTGTCATTAATGTTCGGACAATAAGTAAATATGTTGATACATCGAACCGACACATGGATAGCGGTCGAGTATTTCACTGAATAATCTGACTTTGATTTACATTATAATTCATTCATTAAATTTAGTTTTACTTCTCTTTATTATTGATTTATAAGTTTGTGTTTTTTGAGTCTCGTATTGGTGATAGCTGTATTCAAAAGGTTGCTGATAAGTTTGTTGGGATAGTTTTGAAGCCTTGTATTGTAGTTTGTGTAGAATTTTTTGATTTTTTCTTTTACTGTTGGAATCTGCAAGTCGTTTCTTATTATTTCATTGGGAACGAACCATGGTGCTAGCACTATATTTCGTAATACTTTTGATTGAAATCTTTCCAACGCCCTATAATTGGATGCCATATGTCCATACAGGTTTGATTACTGCTTTGTATAGCAATAATTTATTTTCTATTTTGATAGTTCCGATTTTCCTCCAATGAGCCAGAACATTTTCCTCCATTTTAGTCCTAATTGTTTACGTTTGTAAATAGGTGTTCTTTCCATGTTAATCTCTTGTCGAGGTGGATCCCTGAGTATTTTATTTTATTATTTTGTGGAATATATTTATTGTTCAGTGCAATGGAAGGGCAGGTGTCTTTTCGTAGTGTGAATGTCGTTTGTAATTTTCATTTACTGCGATCCCCCATGAGTTTAGCCAATTTTTGAGGTAACGTTTCAGATATTGCAAATAAATTTTTGCAATATATTTTGGGAAATTATTTACTATTTGGTGAGAAAATTATGATTTTAGGTGATTTTAAATTCTTAGCTTTTAAAACCAGAGGAACAAGAACTGAAGTTTGAAATCCACCCATAAAATAAAGTCAATCGAAACATTTTATAATACTTAATTTAATTATTTATATGAATTTTACCAAATAAAATTGAATTTTCAAATTTTCTATTAAAGATCGGAAATGGTATATTGAATGATAAATATTAAGATTATATCGATATTCTTATTGTATATTAACATCTATAATATAATAACCTTTGTTGATGATATTGTTGACAAACTTATTTATGACAAGAATTTTGATGAAGCAGATAGTTGTGCAAATTATCAGCTAGGAATGAAGATATACACAATATCAATAAACAAATTTTCAGTTTATTAGTTACACTAATGAATGCTTATATACTGCGACTAATAGTGTAATATTTATTACAATAATGGTGAATTAGATGATATTATTGTGCCCGAATATCTCAATTCTCTAAATCTATCGTACTTACCACTTTACAAAGCATATACTATAACTATATACAAATTTCATGGACAAACGAAAAGTAGTCATCGACTTTAGCGTAGCGATGCCTTTAGTCACGAACAATTAAATATTGCACTTCTCGAATTAGGTTTAGAATTCAATTACAATATTTTTTAGAAATCATGAGCATAAACAAAAAATGAAAATTTACATTTACAAAAAACTGTTTTCGTATAATTAATGATACTTTCAAATTTATTATTTTACTTACAAGAATATAAGAGATATAACAAATTATAAAATAAAAATTTATATCGTGGATGTACCGTACGTTTACATCGCATGCAGACTTCTAGTTATTTAAAAAAATATAACACCCTCGTCTCATAAATTCATGTACTCGTAAAACGATTCACATAGTTAGCACAATTTTTACGTCTAAGTTTTTGTCGTGACCCTTTGTCTTATCTATTTAACAATTGATTGGTTCTATTTAAATTACTTTTTAATTAGGACCTATGCTATTAACCTAAATTATGATAGCTGATAGGATGCAAAATAAAAGTCACAAGTTTGATATATAGATAATAAATTCTGTTGGTATATTTTACCAATTTCTACCATGTACAAAAAACATTATTTGTAAAACAAGAATGATTTTATTTTAATTTATTGCAATTATTTGCAGATTAATACTTCAAGCAAGTTAATAATCAAATAGGATCAAAAACAATCCATTTCAAATGAGACTATTCCCAATGAAATCAATTAAAGTATTTTGGAGATAATCGCATACATAAAAAAAACATTAGGCAAATTGTAATACCTTCTTCTTCTTGAAATCGGTAAAAATAGATTACTTTAATTTTATTAATTAAACTATAATATGAAAATGTAGTTCTTATTGACTATGCAGTATCACCTTGTGATTTATCACATCTTTTATCCATGTAAAGTATTATATCTAAAGCATCAGGCAAAAGAGAACGCACACTACAAATTTCTAATTCAGTAAGGTGATCTAATTTTGCATATGTTCTAGTTGGTTCTGTTTGTACAAAATTAATAATAGAGCTACGCAACTTCGACATTCGTAAGTCCCAAATATCCTAAAAAAAAAAGTTTTGAAATATAGTTTAAATCTGAAGATAAATAAATCAGATTTGATAAGTATCAACATTCGAATTTCATACCTTTATGGCTGTTCTAACATTATCAACATCAGGAATATCATCAGGAGCATGGGTAAGTACTAAATGAGATTCATCCATGTAATGGCTACTTGGCATTTTAGTAAAAAGTCTAAAAAATTGATCAGTTTAGAAAGCATTGTTGTTAATTAAATAATATATACAGTAGATATATAAACAAACTTGTTAACTTTTTCTTCCTCCAAAACTGATTGAAGTTTTTCTGTGTTCATCCATTCTTGATGAACAATTTTGCATTTCTGTTGTTGTTTGAGATTCAAAGCTACCCAAATAGGAACTTTTATGGGTAAACCAGCTCGAAATGGCCCTATTGGGCCAGAAATTAAGTGAATTACATTGAATGTAAAGTTTGGAACAATACTAACTAAATGTTTTTCTCCTAAAAATTCTACTTCACTCGGGTTCATTTTCTGTTAGAAAAAAATGCATTACTCTTATAAATATGTTTATAATAAGCGTACTTTTATTAGCGAATTAAACAATTTATTATTTGAAAAAGAACATTAACATTGAAATAGATGAATGATTACAAAATCTTCATGATGGTTAATGTTATGAACGAAGAATGACAAGTTTTATATTAATGAATCTTTTTTTATTTAGAAAAAAGAAGTAAAAGAGGGTAATATTTAAGTTTTTGTATTGTGAATTCAGCTAATAAAATAATTGTTATCTAACATTATGTGATAAAAATCGAAAATACAAGACGAACCTTTTATTTCCTTCTGTTTATTAGAAGCAATCAGCTGAATTGATCTTTTATATCAATAATATTTTATTCCACTTAAAACAATTTTTATAATAAAATGACAAATAAATACAATTACGGTTCAGGTATATTCGTGGGTATGTATAGTGTGTTCCCAGATTTTGAGATATACTATATACTGCTTTGTTTCGCGGGTTTTCTGCAACATTCGCTCATGTTTTGTGACGTAGTAGAAGAGAGTGAAATTTTTAGGTTAGATGGTTAGATCGGATATTCGGGTAATATATATTAGTGATCGAACTCGGATCTGTGGAATAATAGCGTCTTTAATTCGTGTGTTAAATAACAATAGCTACCACTCTTTCGATACAGTAGAAACTTAATTAGGGCATATATTTATAATTAAAAATTATTGTACTATATTTGGTTTTTGAAAGCTTTATTGTGGATCGAAATTCACCTACACAATACTTTGAATAGGTACATCATGCTTTGCATATTTTTACATGCATAACTTAAACTGACTTCATTCTTTATACAGGAAATAAAAATTACGAATTTACATATTTTGTTGTGATAATTGTTTTGAGTTCATTAATAAGAAACATGTGACTTGAATTGCTAGTTTGCGCTAGCAAATATACAACTCGATCAATAATTGAAAATAAGAATATCACAGATTTTGTATTTTACAAGTCTCAATGGCAAAAACCAGAAAAATAAATGTAAGGACACCTGTAAAAAATAGAAAATCAACGGTTATTAAGAAAAGTCCAGTCATATCACGTAAACGTGCTAAAAGTCAAGTTCAAAAAAGTAGAAACAAAAATATCAAAACGTTCCTGTATGAAAGTCCCTTGAAACATCTACGTCATAATGGGTAGGCACACTTTTGAAAAGTTATGAAATATCAATTATATTTCAAAAAACACAAATAATGTTGTTTGTCAAATTACATACAAAACCAGTGAAAGGTCAAATGCAGAGGTTCAATCTGAAGACACAAAAGTAAAAGAAGTTGGAAATGTATCAGAACATGATAAAAATGAAATAAAAATCAATCTGAATAATGAAATAGAGAGTAAAATTGGTGCAAATACTAACGAGCAAGCAGTGGCTACTTCTTCAAGTATTCCTATAAAAACAAAAAGGTTTTATTATTGTATAAATAATAACAATTTTCTTTGCATTACTGTAAATGTGATTTTTTACACTTTTATATTTTAGAAAAGAAGAGAATTTATCTACTTTCATGGGAGCAGATTCATTCCAAGTTAAGAAAAAAAAGCTAAATAAGAGCCCATTATCAAGAATCAGAGATGTAGATCAGCCGGTAACAGCAAAATTATCAAACAAACTAGATGAAAGTATCATCTGTGTAGATGATTTGGATATAGATGCTGCCAATGATAACAGTATTGAGACTCAAGTAAATAGTCAGGATATTGTTGTAATTGATGATAGTTTCTCTCAATCATCTTCAAAAACTTGCCTTCAAACTGTTTGTAAACATGCAAATCTTGCACATAATTTATTAGATTCTGTCATTGTCTTAGACGATGAACCCCAAAGTAAGTCTTCAATTTGAATGTGGTTAATTAATTCTTAAATTCGTTAAATACATATATTTTATACATAGCTTCAATACATAAACCAGTAACCAAGCCTACTGAAGACTGTATGGTTGTGTGGTCATCATTACCAGAGATACCAACGACATTGATATCATCAAAACCAATTAACGAAAATGATGATTTGTTAAAATCTGATAAGATTTTATTAGACACTACTGGTGAACCATCTAATCTAAGGTATCTTAAAAATGACAACAGTAATAAAAAATTGGCCAAAAAATCACCAAAAGTGACTAAGTTTGGAGTAAAAAAGTTAAATACAAAAAAAGTGTCTGAAATTACCAGGGGCTTGGCTAAAACAAAAATTGTTACAAAAACAGTGTCAAAAGTGACTAAATTACCAGTTAAAAAGAAGAGTAAAGGCGAATTGATTTTTTCAGCTCAGAATACAGAATCCAAATGTCAAAAAAAAAGTGATGATTCTAAGCCAAAAAAAGGAACATTACGTGAAATAGTGATTGATGGTAGTAATGTTGCTATGGCGTAAGTAGTAATAAGACAAAAATCTTATTAATCTAAAATAAACACTTTTCATGCTTTTATGAAAATATTTATTATTTGCATATAACTTGTCAGATATACCAACAATAAAACCTTTAGCGAAAAAGGCATAAAAATGCTAATCGACTATTTCACTAAAAAGGGGCATACTGTAAAGGTTTTCGTGCCCCAATATAGGAGGTCGAGAAACCATGTTTTGCTTGAGAAATGGTATGAAGAAGGAATAGTGGTTTTCACACCAAGTAGAAAACTTGGCAACAAATTTATAACATCTTATGATGATAGGTAATTGTAAACAATGAAAACTACTTTGCTCAAAAATTACGATTTAAAAAATCTATTTAAATAAAACTAAAATCAATTATAATCAAACTTGTACTTCAGGTACATTCTTGAGTACGCTAGAGCATGCAACGGTATAGTAGTATCTCAAGATCAATTTCGAGATCTATACGCTGAAAAAGTCGAGTATAGAGATACAATCGAAAAAAGATTGTTGATACCTACCTTCGTTGGTGATTATGTGATGTTTCCAGAGGATCCTTTAGGAAGAAGTGGACCTTCATTGGCAGAATTTTTGAAACATTAACATTTTTGAGTAATGGAAATTTATCAAAATTAAACCATGTTAAAAGGGAAAAAAAAACTCTAAATATAATTTTTCAATTTTCAAGGTTGATACGTTCTTATCGTGAATTACAGCTTTATCTTTTAAGGTCCCCATACATTTCTATAGGTATACGGTGAATGAAGAAAATCGGTCGCAGTTTCTCTCTATTGGTTTACCTAAATTGTAAATATTGGGTACTTTAAAAACTTACCAACGATAAACGCTGTTATCAAGTTCATGACTAATTATTTTAGGGTAATTAGCATAGCCGTTGTGCGTTGTCATAAAAAATCAACAGTCCAACGATTAATTTTAGATATTCATTTGGTGATGACGCATGCTAACGTTTTGTTTTTGTTGTAAATATAAATATCAATGAATGCTAAAAATCATTGTTTGATTTTTAGTTTTACATATTTAAGTGAGAAAACGGCTGCGCAGAAAATAATTAATCGTATTCTATGTGGAAACATTTATTGTCGATAAGCTTTTCAAGAACCTATCTTTATTTATAATTTTTAATGATTGATTATATATAGAAGTGTATGACGGTGCCTTAATTTCATCGACATTGCGGCTACTCGAAAATATGAAATGTAATAGACCTTACTGTACATATAATTTATTTTTAATTTTAATACAAAATTGGCATAATAAAATATAAGGTTTATACCGTTGAAAGTTACAAGTGAATAATAAAATTAATATCTAAGGTAGTAAATAGTTTTACGAATGTTTGTTGAGTCAAGGACTTAAGTGTAAGAAAGATTAAAGTCTAAATTTCGTTTTAGAGTGTAATTCAACCTAATAGCTCGTTTATCTTATAAGCTGTTTATTTACAAGATGAATAAAGTAGCTTTACTTCAGATCACCAAATGCAAAACATTTTATATAAATAACCGTTTATTAGAAACATTTATTTAACAGTTTATAGAAAAGTAATTGAACTTAATACGTTTCCGCACATCTTCACACAGCAATAAATACTGTACATATATACAACAAAAATAAAATATTGTTAATTACTATCATTTTCGAAATCTTCTTCAGACGGTTCATCCCAAGAAGGTTTCCAGCACCATTTCCGTGATTGTCTTATACAACCCATTTTTTCCACTGCAGTTTCCTTTGCAGCTCTTTGCAAAAGAGTTTGTTCTTCTGGATTGAGTACTGCATTGGCTAATACTGATTCATGTTGAAAAGCTGAACTCACGGCTAAAGTAAAAAGTTGAAAATGTATCATAGTATTAATGATTAAAGCCTGCGATGATATCAGCATAATAAGAAATTTTGTTATAAGATCACAATTTTTTAATACATTTTTCAAATATTTTACAGTGACAAAAAATTAATTCATATAAAAAAACAGCGAATTTATATCTTGTATACGATCTGTTTTCAAATGTTTAGATAATTGTCATTCATACTTATAAATACTTTTTTTTATTTTTTATTTAATTTGCATTTTTTCCCAATTTTCATGTGAAATAGAGTGAAAAATTTATATTGTAATGACTACTCACCAGCTTTTGAAAATAACTTTGACAAAACGTATTGATCATCAGAATTGGTTACTGGATCTGGTTCTTTTGATTTGCCAAGACGACGCCCAATTAAACATGAAACACGTTCTCCATCGAACAATGCAGAGATATTGTCATCTGGTTTACTTTTTTTATGTTTTTTATGTTTGTGATGTGATTTATAAGTTTTATTATCTTTAAAATTCTTTCCACTAATTTTGGCAGCATCATTAGCATAATTTGACGAGTCATCAAAAATTTCACCCTCTTCAATTTCCATTTGATTTACTTCTGTATCTTGCTCCTGATTGATGCTTTCTGCATTTCCATCTCTGTCACTCTTTTTTTCACTTATTTCATCCTTTTCAGTTTTTATGATAATTTTATTTTCATGCAAGTACGACTGATCTTGAACATCAATATTACTTTCAGGTAAGTTAGTGATTTTATCGGCGGATTTCATAATTTGATCATTCACCTCCACCATATCTTTGCTTATATCGGCTTTGTTGCTATTTTCTTGACTGATTTCTTTTTCAACAGATTTATTTTTAGCTACTTTTTCCCCAATTTTTTTGCTTAGTTCCGAAGCAAGTTTTTTCATGGCTTCAATTTTACTGACAGTAAAATTTATATTACTGGGAGAGAGTTTCGAATCACGGAACAGTTGGTCAGATTCACTGTTTTCACCGTTCATTGGTTCATTTAAATTAAAAAGCTCGGTTAAATCTGTTGTTCGAAATAAACGTCTCTGTCGTGGATCTTCAAGAACTTTATTAGAAAGGAGTATTTTGAATACTTGACGATGATACATCTACAAAAGTAAATATTTAACGTAATCTCAATATTACAAACAGCATCATTAATTTTAATAAACCACAAAACAGCGATAAAAAAAGAAAATACACGTTTTTATTGTTAAAAAAGTCTGTACCTTTTCTTCAATTGTTCCAGCAGTAATTAATCTATATACAGTGACATTTTTATCTTGACCTATTCTCCAAGCCCGTTCTCTGGCTTGCGCGTCAGTAGCTGGATTCCAATCTGGATCATAAATAATTACTCTATTTGCTCCCGTTAAATTTACGCCTAAGCCTCCGACTCTCGTAGTCAGTAAAAAAACAAAATATGACGGATCCTTGAAAAGCAGATACATTGTTTGACTATAATTTTTTTCCAAATGAATTTTTGAAACTTTTTCGAAAAAAAAACTTACTTTATTGAATTTCGAAATGGTCAACTGCCTTTGAGCCATAGGAGTTGTTCCATCCATTCTTAAGTACGTGTATTTTTCTTTTTGAATTAAGCCTTCTAATATGTGCATCATCTAAACATATACATAATTCGATCGCCACATTATCAATATACTTTGAAAGAATCTTTGTAATTACAGATATACCTACTTGTCTACTTTGCGTAAATAACAAAACTCTGTGTCCCTGCTTTTTCCAGATTTTCAGAAGAGAGCGAACTACTGTCATCTTTCCAGATTTTTTCCAATGACCAAATTTATTAATCTGATCATCATTAATTTCTATTTCTTCTTCTTCATCGGACATCTATTTTGAAAAAGATTTTATTTAACAAGCGCAAACTTTTTTCAAATTAATAAACTTCAGTTAATTTTTAGTGCAAAGTTTACCGTTTGTGTATCAGCATATAAAAATAGATCTGGGTGGTTACAAATTTTACGCAGGGCTGTCAATGCAACTAGAAGTCGAGCTCTGTATCTACCACCCTCACGCTTCTCATGAAGAACAAAAGACACTTCGTCTGATCTTAAATATTGTTTGTAAAGCTGCCTTTGTTCTTCAGTAAGACTACAAAATAATATCTGTGAATAAAGCAGTGTTTTTATTTATATGCTAACGAAAATTAGAAACGAATTTACTCCATGTTCAATATGTAATACTAGAAAGGTGATAATCATTACAAAATAAAATAATTATTAATTTACTTGTTCATTTTTATCAGGCAAACTGACGTGATGCTGTACATCATACTTTGTTCTTCTCAGCATGTATGGTGTTATAGCATTTTTCAACATAGTTGCAACCTGCAATGCAGTGGCTTCCTGCAAACGAGTCGCATTGGAATAACCTCCTCTCGTGATTGGGCCTGCACAGTGCTCCATAAAAGCAGGCAAAGTACCTAATTTACCCGGTAAAATGAAATCAAAAAGAGACCATAATTCTTTCAGGGAATTCTGCATAGGACTACCAGTTAACAACAACCGATGCGGTGTGAGAAAACCTTTCACAATTTTTGTTACCTGTAACATGTTTGATGTTTTTTTATTATTAATTTATACATTAAAAATTAATTGAATATACTTTGGCTTCTGGATTGCGAATTTTGTGACCCTCATCTAATATAACGTAGTGCCATTTGAATTTTAAAATAGGTTCTTTGTGAATCAAAATTCCTGTGTATGAAAGGATTAATATTCCACCGCCTTTGAGACTGTGCAACAACTCATCAATACTACCTATGATGATGATATTTGTTACTTATGACTAAAATATTTTTTAGTTTTCAATGATGTTGAGATTAATACTAAATTAATACCTTGAAAAGTACTGGATTGGTGTAGCATGACCACACGAAGGGTTGGCCACCAATCATGAAAATGCTGTACCCATTGCTCCAGTAATGTAGCTGGGCAGATGATTATTGTTGGTCCCAAACCCCTAAACCTACAATACAAAAAAAAGTAATCTATGAAATACTTACTTTATAGAGATAGCTATGTTGTATTTCAATTACATAATACTTTAATGTTAAAATTAATTGGTCACATTACCTTCCACCATCAGTCAATAATTCACTACAATCAAGGCCAGCTAGAAATGCAATCACTTGTACGGTTTTACCTAGTCCCATTTCATCTCCCAATAAACCTCCTAAGTTTCTTGTATGTAATTCCCAAAGCCATTTTACAGATACTCTTTGATATCTAAAAAAAAGAAAATAATTTAATTATAAATATTAAGATATTTTTCTATAGAAAGATTCTCTTTGTAAACTGTTATGTATATAGAGAATTTACATCCACTTACTTATACAGCTGCCTCCAGATAGGCAATGGAATTTTAAAAAAATTGTCTACTTTGTGTAATTTTGGATTTCTTTTAAATTTGCTGTTTATTACTCTTTCTTTGTAAATATATTCATCACCATCATCTAAAACTGTGAATAAATGAAATCATTTCTGTTCTATTAATGACAAATTTTGTACATAAGATGTGTAATTTACCTCTTTTTGGACGAGAGTTAAGTTGTACACTATTACCCTTTTTTTTGTGTTCAGGCTTTTTTTTCAGTTCCTCCTCTGAGTAATACTCATCTGAAGGAATATATTCACTTCCTGAGTTATCTTCATCAATATTTTCACTCTGTATTTTCTCATGACTGCTATTAGAAGATTCCATTTTATCTACATCAATATACCTTTCTTGATTATTTTCTACATTTATTTTCTGTAAAGTTACTATTCCTGCATATTTTACTTGACTTTTTTTGTCTTTCTTTTCTTTAATGATTCCTAAATCTGAGGTTTTGATTTTTTTTGTTGGAGGTGATTCCTTGTCTCTTTTATTAGCTGTAGCTTTTTTCTTTTTTAATAATCTTTTTTGCTTGGCAAGTTCTGCCTGTTGATATAAATACTTTTCAAAATCCAAAAGATAAGTAGCTTTTTTAGGTGGTCTGAAAAGTAAAATAAAATACAACTTAATGAAGATGTTATTAGATTATTAAAAGTATTGTAATAAATTAATATGTGGACATCATACCCTGTATTATTAATGGTATCTATTTCTTTATTAACTGCTTGAAATGGTGTGATTTCTCCAGTTTTCACTTGATTTTGTAATCTAGTTTTCAAAATATTACTTTCTGGTTGTTGCTTGAGGTCTGATAAGTTGCTTTCAATAAATTTTTGTGTTGCGTTATCAGTTTCTTTCTTTTCAACAAGTTTATTTATTTCTTCTGAAGCCTTTTGCAGGATACTTGCTTCAGATTGTACTGAAAGTACCTTTTGAATTAAAAGATAAATAAATAAATATTCTACAGTATGATACAAATAGAAAATAATAGGTATATACTTCAGATAACTCATTTGCATCTTCCGTACATTGAGTTTCATTTTCCATATTTACAAAATTTAGAGAATTTCAAGTATTTAGATAGATATAAATCAAATAAACTATTTGTATCACAACCACTCTATTGAAATTTTTGATGTAATGCAATGTCATGGAGGTTATTTTAGTCGATATATCAATATATAAATGAATGCGAAGATATTTTCAAAATAAAATCGCTTATTAACTATTAACTATAAAACGTAAGTAGGAAAAGCAAGAGTATACAAATTTGTGTAATATTGACGATCTGTCTTAAGAATTTATCTCACTCTTGCGGTCTCGACTTCGATCGACAGTCAACACATCAGCTGCCTTTTTCAAATTAAAGCGTAGTATTTCTTGAGTCTACGTTACCTACTGATCTTTTCGATGCATATCGAGCTATAATGAGAAAATAATATTTATTTCTTTATAGGGTATGGTTGTAATGGCGATATTTTGATTACATAAAAAAAATTACGTATGATTTTTACTAACGACTCAACACATTCATTTTTATAAAAACTGTATTAACGTTACGCAGATTCAATTTCTATACTGATCTGGGCGTGTTCTACTTTTGGGATTTTTTAATTAACAAAAAATAAATTACCCGAAATTATTATCCAGTTTTGACAATAATTTCCTTGCCAATCACGCGCAGTTTTTCTATAATTTTTTCGGGTAAATTTTTGTCGATTTGTGTCTAATTTGATACTTTATCGTAGTATTATATAAATATAGGTACAATAAAGTCCACTGAAATTTAAAATTTTATTGCGGGATAAACTATATAACGACCATTTGATCTTCCTTAATCTCCATAACAGACACCAAAATCGTAAGCGACAAGCCATTTTTAGTGGATTTTCTGCTGCTGCAAACTTGAAATGACAAATGCTTAACACAACTTCAAAATTATTAGACAAACTTAAATACAAGTATATTTTAATAAAAGAGTGAAAAATATTCAAATTATTAGCCAATAGTTATTGGGTTATTGGAAAATATTACTCAGATTAAATATAATATTATAAAAAAACGTTTGTAAGTTAACGTAATTTCGTTATCATTATTAAGATTATGTTGCATGAAATTGCAAAGTTGAGGTATTTTAAATCGTAAGTCGGCAGCAACTGGTTGCATACAATTTTCGTATCTATTGGAGAATCAGCCACAGCATTGTTCGTTGCGCACGTATTTTCCCACATTGTTTCGATGAATAAGAACTCTACATGCTTTTTGAGAATGCGAGTTAGAATAGAAGTGTAATCTTCCTAGAAAATGATCAAATTATTGCACCAATCAATCTTATTGGTTTGCAATGTAGTGATTCTCTTTCTATAACTCGTCTGAAATCAAATCGACAACAATATTCTCATTACTTTCTGCTGTTTCATTATTTGTTAATAACATTTTACTTTGGATTATGATTTTAATGGATAGAACATTATAACAGTTGATTAAATTATCATATTGAAATTCAACCTTTAGGTTGATTATTGAGTGACTGTTATTCTTTTCATATTTAATCGACCAAAAACTATTTCTGTATCTGTATATATTTCAGCTTCTCGCCATAGTTCTCTTTCGACGCTTTTTGGCTTAGCATTTTCATTTGTTATAAACAAGTGCTTTTAGTTTGTTACTAGGTTACTAGTTTACTAGGTATCAAGTTTGCATTCTAAGCGTAAAGAAATATTGAAACATAATAAATTAAATTTTTATTAACAATATTTATTTTTATTAACAATATAAATTTAATTTTGTAATATTAACAATACATGAAACTTTTATAAGATGTTGGCTGGGACCCTAATGAATTGTACGCGTTTCTTCGCACGGCCTGTCTTCTTTTTCTTTTTCTCTTGTTTCTCCACCTGAAAAAAGAATTTCCAATATGATTGTATCTATTGATAAAAATTATATTAATTTTGTATATTTCAACGACTGAAAATATTAAAATTGAATAAAAAATTTACTTTTGGTGTTTGGGCTCTGACTTTGCCAGCGCGAGCCAGAGAAGCATGAACCTTGCTACCATGAAGATTTAAATACAAGTCCAAGGTAGGTGTCGGTAGCCCGTTGACGCGGATTTGGTCATTTACTGGGATTCCATTCCAATTTAGTTCCATAATGTCACCCTCTAATTCTCTTAGTTTTACCTGTTTAACAAATTCATTGTTATATAAAATATAATGTAGATTGTCACGATTGACAAACGTATTTTTATAAATTTAAATAGCAAATAAAAAAAAACGCTATGTATCTCAAAATTTAGCCGGCAATGACTATTAATAAGTAATAATACTCACTTTGATATCGGCCATAGTTTCGTTTTCCCCGCACTCGATGAAGTACGATTTGTGTCCTCGAATGTGGAGCTTCATCTTGCGTTTTCTGTATAAATTGCACAGGTTGAATAGTCACCACAACAAAAATTACTATAAATTTCAGTAGTCCCGGTCTGAGGAGTCTTGGAAAGAGCACTCGTTTCAGGCAGTTGCGACTGAATGTACTCCACCGCATTGCCTCAGGCCTTTTATACCAATTTACCAATCCAACCCCTCTTCTCTGCAATCTGCAAAAATGAAAACCATTGTAACGTAAAGTCCATTAGTGTAAGGTAAAAGATGCTAGACAATGGTCGAGTGCTCCGCCTACGGCGTGGCGGGGGTCTACTACTAATTAGTACTAAATAGTAGTACTAAAACATTTATAAATGTAGTCTACTATGGTCAGTAATTAGACCCTCGCCACGCCGTAGGGTCTAACCGCTTTGCCTCAGGCCTTATAAAAGGCCTGAGGCAATGCGGTGGAGTACATTCAGTCGCAACTGCCTGAAACGAGTGCTCTTTCCAAGACTCCTCAGACCGGGACTACTGAAATTTATAGTAATTTTTGTTGTGGTGACTGTTCAACCTGTGCAATTTATACAGAAAACGCAAGATGAAGCTCCACATTCGAGGACACAAATCGTACTTCATCGAGTGCGGGGAAAACGAAACTATGGCCGATATCAAAGTGAGTATTATTACTTATTAATAGTCATTGCCGGCTAAATTTTGAGATACATAGCGTTTTTTTTATTTGCTATTTAAATTTATAAAAATACGTTTGTCAATCGTGACAATCTACATTATATTTTATATAACAATGAATTTGTTAAACAGGTAAAACTAAGAGAATTAGAGGGTGACATTATGGAACTAAATTGGAATGGAATCCCAGTAAATGACCAAATCCGCGTCAACGGGCTACCGACACCTACCTTGGACTTGTATTTAAATCTTCATGGTAGCAAGGTTCATGCTTCTCTGGCTCGCGCTGGCAAAGTCAGAGCCCAAACACCAAAAGTAAATTTTTTATTCAATTTTAATATTTTCAGTCGTTGAAATATACAAAATTAATATAATTTTTATCAATAGATACAATCATATTGGAAATTCTTTTTTCAGGTGGAGAAACAAGAGAAAAAGAAAAAGAAGACAGGCCGTGCGAAGAAACGCGTACAATTCATTAGGGTCCCAGCCAACATCTTATAAAAGTTTCATGTATTGTTAATATTACAAAATTAAATTTATATTGTTAATAAAAATAAATATTGTTAATAAAAATTTAATTTATTATGTTTCAATATTTCTTTACGCTTAGAATGCAAACTTGATACCTAGTAAACTAGTAACCTAGTAACAAACTAAAAGCACTTGTTTATAACAAATGAAAATGCTAAGCCAAAAAGCGTCGAAAGAGAACTATGGCGAGAAGTTGAAATATATACAGATACAGAAATAGTTTTTGGTCGATTAAATATGAAAAGAATAACAGTCACTCAATAATCAACCTAAAGGTTGAATTTCAATATGATAATTTAATCAACTGTTATAATGTTCTATCCATTAAAATCATAATCCGAAGTAAAATGTTATTAACAAATAATGAAACAGCAGAAAGTAATGAGAATATTGTTGTCGATTTGATTTCAGATGAGTTATAGAAAGAGATAAAAGAATAGAATATTAAAAAATAATATTTAATATTAGAATATTGCAACGGACAGACGCTCTCCTCTACGTCCCTAGTACAGCGTCTTGCGCGATGCATCCCTCTTCCCCCTCTCCTCTTATTTATAGCGTCCCTTTCTATTATTCTAAACATGCTATAATTATAATTTTCTCGATAATATTAGTTTATATGTCGTATATATATATTAGGCCTGTTCAGAAAAGTGAGATTTTTTATTTTTATAGCTCCAGTTGATTCAATCGATAGCTATTTACATTAGGAATCACTCTACATTTTTTCAGAATTTTTAAATAATTTTAAGACCACCCAATATGCGTTTAAAAATTTTCGAAAAATTGAGGTGAATTTCTAGAAAGTGTTAAGTGACTCTAACCGCAACAAATTACGGAAACAAAAACGCTTATAAAAGTTTATGAAAAAGAAATTAACGTGAAATCCGAAATGGATGGTGAACATGTGTACCGCGGCTGTGCGTGTCTCTCTCACCGGCGACGCTGAGTGCGCAGATAGCCGCGTACACCTTCGGATAAAAATTATTTATTTGTCTTGGATTAAATATCATTAATAACATGTAAAAGTTTTTTGCAATAAAAAAAACAAAAAGAAATAAATAGATGAACAATAAGTGGAGAGGGTTTTGGTTATATTTGTGTTTGTTGCTCTTGTAATTATTCATTTTTAAAATTCAAAATTCGTTAAACGCGCATTTTAATCAGCTATTGAATTATATAAATAAATATTGCAATTTTTACACCATTAGCAATGTTCATTTAACAACTAAAAGGGTAGGTAAGGTCATAAAAAGGATTAGCCATCCGAGGATCCGCGCGGCTACCTGCATAGTCGGCGTCGGTGGCGAGACGCGCAGCTGCGGTACACATGTTTTGAGTTGACTTGTAATCACTAGGCTAATGGAATCATTTTCGTTCAAATTTCGCAGAAATGTTCACTATATTTTCATCAATTTGACAATGATATAATGTATTGACTGAAATGCTATTGACATAATCTATTGTCATAGAATAAAGTTATATTAAAGTGCAAATTGCCTCCTCTTACACTTGAACACATTTTCCTTAAACTAACGCGATACACGAATGCAACATATTTCCTTAAGACACTCGGCATGTGTTTCATATTACGGTCATAATCGCTCTTAATTGCTCGGACCGCTCGTCCTCAGGCTATCCATGCGCACGCTTTGTTTGGGCCAGACTCCCAGATGCTAATCTTAAATTGTATTTCTTTTTAGTTTCCAAAATCCTATTATTCATGATGTTTTAACACTTAAATTTAGATAATATGTATTAAATCAATGCACCACAACAATCATACTTTGTCGGTTTCTCAGAGCCTTTCTAATCATCAGAGTTTATTGCAATTTGCACTTTAATATAACTTTATTCTATGACAATAGATTATGTCAATAGCATTTCAGTCAATACATTATATCATTGTCAAATTGATGAAAATATAGTGAACATTATTGCAATAAACTCTGATGATTAGAAAGGCTCTGAGAAACCGACAAAGTATGATTGTTGTGATGCATTGATTTAATACATATTATCTAAATTTAAGTGTTAAAACATCATGAATAATAGGATTTTGGAAACTAAAAAGAAATACAATTTAAGATTAGCATCTGGGAGTCTGGCCCAAACAAAGCGTGCGCATGGATAGCCTGAGGACGAGCGGTCCGAGCAATTAAGAGCGATTATGACCGTAATATGAAACACATGCCGAGTGTCTTAAGGAAATATGTTGCATTCGTGTATCGCGTTAGTTTAAGGAAAATGTGTTCAAGTGTAAGAGGAGGCAATTTGCACTTTAATATAACTTTATTCTATGACAATAGATTATGTCAATAGCATTTCAGTCAATACATTATATCATTGTCAAATTGATGAAAATATAGTGAACATTTCTGCGAAATTTGAACGAAAATGATTCCATTAGCCTAGTGATTACAAGTCAACTCAAAACATGTGTACCGCAGCTGCGCGTCTCGCCACCGACGCCGACTATGCAGGTAGCCGCGCGGATCCTCGGATGGCTAATCCTTTTTATGACCTTACCTACCCTTTTAGTTGTTAAATGAACATTGCTAATGGTGTAAAAATTGCAATATTTATTTATATAATTCAATAGCTGATTAAAATGCGAGTTTAACGAATTTTGAATTTTAAAAATGAATAATTACAAGAGCAACAAACACAAATATAACCAAAACCCTCTCCACTTATTGTTCATCTATTTATTTTTTTTTGTTTTTTTTATTGCAAAAAACTTTTACATGTTATTAATGATATTTAATCCAAGACAAATAAATAATTTTTATCCGAAGGTGTACGCGGCTATCTGCGCACTCAGCGTCGCCGGTGAGAGAGACACGCACAGCCGCGGTACACATGTTCGCCATGCATTTCGGATTTCACGTTAATTTCTTTTTCATAAACTTTTATAAGCCTTTTTGTTTCCGTAATTTGTTGCGGTTAGAGTCACTTAACACTTTCTAGAAATTCACCTCAATTTTTCGAAAATTTTTAAACGCATATTGGGTGGTCTTAAAATTATTTAAAAATTCTGAAAAAATGTAGAGTGATTCCTAATGTAAATAGCTATCGATTGAATCAACTGGAGCTATAAAAATAAAAAATCTCATTTTTCTGAACCCATGGAAAACTTTGACAAGGACGGTCACACCGGTCCCTTCTTGTAATTTGCGTGCGTCAATTTTTTGTAAACCGGCTTTTTCCCGTTCAATATCGGGTTTTTTATGCTGGTATATTGTTAAGTAACAAATAAACCAATCAAAATTATAAATAATCATTTCTGCTGCTCCTCACCCCTTACAACATTAATGATGACATTAAAAAATATACTAATTAAAATATTTCATTTTTCTGAAGCTTGGCAAATGAATAAGGATCGATATTTATTATAAGGCTCCGATAAAGAAGTAATTTAACAAGGTTTATTTTGCCTATTTACAAGGTAGTAAGTGTGAAATAAGAAACTGTGTAGTATTTTAAAAATATTTTATTTATAAAATTTACCACAGGGTGGCTGACATACGAGCCAGTTATAAAAATCTCGGAATACATTGTAAAATAATTGACAAATGATTTATCACTTTGCTAAATTTTATAATTGATTCTAGAAAAGGTAAAGAACTTTCATATCAATATTCTACAAAAATTTTGACGCATTTATATAAGCGATGATGAAGAAAACTAATATTGTTGTACACATTTTTGAAAATCTTTTGTAAAATTTTAATTTCATAAATGGTTGTAAATTTCTTTTTAGAATAAGTTGATAAAGATATATTTTCAAAAAAACTATCGTGATTCAGCGCAGTAGAATCCCGAAAACAAGAAACCAAAGATATATGTTGTATGGAAGATTGAGAAAGTTGTAGTGATTAACATTCTTCAACGTAGATTTATGTATGAGAAAAGTTTTAGCGACTTTCTTCATAAGAGTCATCGGATATCGGATGTTGAACAAATACTGAGGTAAAAAACAAATTGATCGTTATAGTCATTAACTTACCAAAGGAATGTGCGTGGGTTAAAAAAAAATGTAGAACATTTATTTATATTTTACGAATCAACGTCAAGAGTAATTAATTCATTTTTACACCTTTGTGCTCACGGTGAAAAAAGACAGTTGAATGATATATTATTGTGTCAATAAAGTCAATATCATAGATGTATATTCGTTATAATTGTTGGCACCGTGCGCAATCACGGACACATCCAGATGTTAAGCAAATAATAATCTCGGTACACGTCCGATGCCCGATGTCTCCTTGTATAGAAAGCCTCTTACCCACAATGAATAGATCCAATTATTGCGCTTGTACATCGATTCAGTTGCAAAGTAAAAGAATTGTACTTTTTACAATAGTAAATTATAAATGAGTGTAAAAGCATTTGATAAGGCTCGACACATATACTTTTAACCAACTTTACCTCTTATAAAATAAACGATGCAACTTCCTCAATTCGTAAAAGATTAAGTCGTCTTGTCATTGCTTAACACGTGGAGTAAGCATGATGTTTAGAAAGGAAACTGTGCGCACTGATGAATTCAAATGGTAGAACATATCGATCCAATATAGGACGAGCGACCAACGAGCGGATACTCGCAGAGACGATGTCGTTGATAATTTTGGCATTGCACTTTCGGAATATTCCAGCAGTAAGTACGAGCTGCGAAGATTGGTTCGTTGGAAGATGATAAATTTGGCGGAGCGTGCAACTCGGCGGCCGGTCGAGCCTCGGCTGGAGGCGCCGCAGAGGCGTGGAAGACGGGGCTCGGAGCGCTCAGAGCCAGACCCACCGGGGCGCGAAGCTGTCGAAGGCGAAGACCTCCGGCTGTCCGAGGTGCGAGCTGTTGGGGAAGCTGGCCGCCCAGTCGAAGGCCGGCGCGTGGGGGCGCCGCGGCGGACCGCAGCGGCCCTCGAACGCCAGCACGCCGCTGAGGTCGAAGAGGAAGAGCTTGGAGTCGACGACGCCGTGCGGCCGCGGCACCGCCGCCAGGTCGCCGCGGTAGGCCAGCAGCTGGGCCAGCGCCGCGTCCCCGGGGCCCCGCATGAGCTCGCGCAGCGCCTCCACGCTGCTCACGTTGGCCTGCAGCAGGGCCAGCTGCGCGGCCCGGGCCGCGGCCGCGGCGGCGCGCGCGCCCGGCGGGCCGCGCGCCGCCTCGCTCAGCGGCGCGCCCGCCAGGCCGAGGAAGCCCTGGCGCGCGAACTCGACGCTGCGGTCGGAGTGCTGCGTCGGGCCGGCGGGCAGCTGCTCGACCAGGCGCACGCGCCCGTAGCGCGGCTCCACGGCCAGCCACTGGCGGCCGGCGGCGCCGCCCGCGGCCGCCTGGCGCTCGAGCAGCTGCGCCCAGGCCAGCCCGTCGGTCGCCAGCCGGTTGGCGGCCATCAGCCGCGCGGCCGACAGCAGCCGGTCCTCGGCCTGCAGGCGGCCCCCCCACAGCCGCGGCTCCGCGGCCGCGAGCGGCGTGCCCGCCAGCAGCAGCTCGCCGCGAGGCCCCTCCACCAGGTAGCTCTCGTCCTGCGAGGAGAGCGCGCCCGGGTAGGAGCTCATGGCCACGGCCTGGCCGGGCGCCGCGGACGCGCCGCCCGCCGGCGACAGATGGTAGGCGAACTTGTAGCGCTTGAAGAGGCGCAGCATGCGCGCGTAGGGCGTGGCGGTGTTGTGCGCGAGGCCGACCAGGGGGCCGCGCGGCCCGTGCTCGATGGCCTTGAGCACGAGCATGCCGTCCGCGGCGGCGTGCGGTCGCGAGCCGTTGCCCGCGAGCTCCAGGTCCGGCAGGTCCGGGGCCAGGGCCATCCAGAGGAAGTCGTCCGGCTTGATCTCCGCGTCCTGACCCCGGCGCTGCACCGCGAACCTCCAGCCCTCCGCCAGGCCGTTCAGCTGCTCGTAGTACAGGTGCACCTGCCGAGGAGCAGCGGCGCTGTAGTCCGGCTGGGCGGTACGTGCCGGTCGGGCACGCCGTCACGAGCTCACTCACCATGTGCCAGTAGGGATCCTCGGCTCTCAACAGGGCGGCCTTCTCGCGCGCGCTTGCCGCGTTTTGGCGCAGGTATTGTCGCATCTTGTAGCAGAGCGCGGCCCTCGAGACGCACACCGGCCTCACGGTGTTGTGCCAGTGGTGGTAAATCAGCTGCCAGGTCAGGCTGCCCTCCAGCAGACCAGCCGCGTACGCCTGCACGTCGTCCGGGTATTCCGACGACGTCTCGATCTCGATGGTGGACCACCTGCGAACGTTCGTCGAAAGCTTCACCGTCATTTCTCTATCTGTGTTTCGTTTGCTGTGCTTCGCTGTTCTTCGCCAATACTTGCCCAGTTTCGTAGATTCCAGTCTTGTAGTAGCCACGGGCCACCCCTCTCGGCAGCGACTCCAAGTCGTTGCCCTGGCCCCAAAAGTCAATGCGGTATCCGGATCTGTGCTTCCACCAGACGGTCGCTGAGTACGTGCCGTCATTCTTAGCGCTGCAATTACAATGGACGCTTAATTTGATCGATCGCGCAGTGCCGACGACAGGTCAGCGTCTTCGAGATGTTCATCGATCAGCTAGTCCTTTTCTTAAAAATGTAGAAAGGTAACAGACCGACGCCCCGCTAGCAATTGAACGCAAAAGTATATTTCATACATTCGGCCAGCCGGTGATCAGATGTCAAGATTCGTTATCAAGACAGCGTCTCGTGTCTCGATAACGATCGTGATCGACGAGTACGAGCGTATTCTAACCGACGTCGCTACGTGAATTCTTCAAGAATCGATCGCGTCTTTGACCAGAAGCTTGGAAAGAGCATAGGTGTTCATCGGTCGTCTGTCCTCACGCTTAGCGATGTCGTTGTATTATTCTAATCTTATCGCCGACGAGCTGAAACTAGTTTTCACGAAGCGCAACTGTAAAAATGATCTAACATCCGAGGTCGTGACTTGCAGAAGCGCAAGTAAGATAACGGGGAGTGTCGGAGGCTGAAAGTTACCGAAAGAAGGCCTGTACAGCGATTGTATTACGGCTGGCTTATGAATGTTCCAAACTCGAGAAAACATAGATAGAAGGCGTATCGCACGAAGCTTGAATGCTCAGCGCCGAGTAACAAGTGCAAGCGCACGGCAGACGCGGTCATTAGCTGCACGCGTCTGGAGATAAGAAGTGACGTAGCGGTGTTTGATGATTCCGCGGAATCGCTGCCAAGCGCAGCCAGCAGACTGCTGCTCGGCAGAAACAAGATGCCCGCGTGTCTGGAGCGCGATTGGCGACACTGTAGCGTTCGTCGCGGGTGGTCGCTGCGCGTCACAAGCAGGCGCTTCCGCGATAGGTCGCGATGCGAACTCGCGCAGAGCCCCGACCGAGGGAGGTGCCTCGGCGAGGCGCAGGGCGCCTCAACGAGCGTCGCGAGCTGATAAGAGACGACGAGCTCGCATTCGATAGCGAGAATCGAGAACTTACCGTCCGTACTCGCCGAGGATGATAGCGCCGACGCCGAGGAGAGCGACGGCGACGAGTATGTAGGTGGAGATGCGAGTCTGCAGCCAAGAGGCGCCCACGACCTTCAGCATGGCTCATCGGTGGTTTCTCGGAACAACTCAACTCGGAAAAAACTGAAGCCCGTTTTCTCAACCCATCGAGTACAGAGGCCAACGCCCAGTCAGCGGCTTCCGCCTCTCGGAAGCTGCTCCCACTCGATCACTGCAACATAAGCGACCGGCAACAATTAAGACGCTCATCGAGGATACTCGCGTGCCAGCCGAGGGTGGTGCACGCCGCAGGCCGCGATTTCACGGTGCTCGCGCGTCATCGTCGCACTCGATGCTCGAAGGCTGGCCTCGGCAGCGTCCACGCGATCTCGCTTTCGCTCTTTCCTCCTGGATTCGCGTCCTTGTTGCGCGCAGCGTCGCGCGGCCATGCCAAGCAAACTTGGCCGCGCCAACTAGCCGCGCAACGCAATATCAGGCTTTCCAATAAAATCGAGTGCATACGCGTAAAACGTAAACACAGCCAGTTGTCGCCTACTGTTTGTTCCTTTTCTGGAATAAACAGAGATCAGAGGCTGCGAATCGGCGCTATCGCATGTGCGCGCGTGCAGAGGTGTGTGACTTTTGCCGAAAAGTTGTCGAGCGGTCACGGATCGTTTTGAGGCTGCGACTCCGAGCAAAGACCAAGTCCCGTTGCAGCAGCGCGCAAAGAAAAGCTCGAACAACTTGTCGCGCTATTGAAATCGAATTTTGAACGGGAATTCGGATAAACGTACGAGGCCGACTCGAGCGCCAGAGCAGTAACGTACCCATCCGGAGAAGAGGAGGCGATCAATTTCTCGAAGAACGTAGCCAGCCGAGGATCGCTTGGTCGATTATCGATTGGTTTCGGAGCTCGGTACGGTCGCTTTTCAGACGCAACTCATTCGACAAACGATAAAGACGCTCGTCTCCGAGCGCGTCCGGACGAGCAGCAGCCGAAGGAACACTGATCTAGTCGGCGTCGTACACAAGTCTATCAGCGCACCGGTGCCAGTCGATAAGTAAGCCGAAGTAATATCAATCGTGGAAGATGGTCGCGGACAGGGCCGCTCGCAGGGCTAATAATAGCTTCTCGTCTCGGTGCCTCCTTCGTGCTGTACGGCAGCCGGCTGATAACGCGTGCAACCGATGACTATTCCATGTGCGCGTAGCCTTAAGCGATTGTACTCTCGAATACGGCACTTAAAGAAGCGTTGGCAAGGCTGGATTGGATAGGCAGGCCGAATTCAGCGACGAGTCGTGGAAAAGTTGACTCGATAAAATTAGTTGACGGCCAGTCTGCCGTCGTTTGTTGTTGTTATGGATTCGAGAATTCCGCTCGATGCGCCAACGAGTGTTAAATAGTGAAAGCTATTTTCATCCATTGAGCGCTTTCATTGATCAAACAGTTAAGTTCAAAGACCCACCGACGCTCAAAACAAAGCATTTGACGTTCGCATCGCGCGACATAGCTCGACGTGTCTCGATGATTTTTAATTTTCCACTTGGCATAACGGCAAATTGTGATTGCGTCAAAGAAAATATCAGTCAATTGTTATTATCCTCAAATGGCAAAAAGATTTTCAAAACTGTGCACTTACTCATCATTGAACATTGAAAAGCACCAACAAAAGTCGTTAAAAGCTAACACTCCGGTAAATGAAAATCTGCTAAATGAAAGGCTCCGAGTTTTAATTGCGAAATGCTACGATCACGTAATGTATCGACGAGGTGATTACAAAGGCGACAACTTGAAACTGCTTCGCGTCGACTTATTCATTCTTGTTATACATTTTAGCTGATTTGTCGATAAGCTTGTCTCGGTAATAAATTTGTAAAATCGCACTGATAATTATCAAAATACTTGATTGATGTATTTTATCACGATTATTATGAATTAAATTGTATTTTTGCCCTGTAAATCCCCTAAGAAATAGTCAGAAAGTCAAATAGTTAGGCTTCTCACGATGGACGCTATCGTGACAGCTACAAATCACGATTCTATTAATTTTTTCAATGGGCTGCGAACAAGCCGCAGTCACGACTGAAGCTCATAATTACGTGGATCGGATCGATGAAAAGTTTGATTTGACATAGCAGTCGACCTGTAAAGGAAGAAGGAAAGATAACGACTACGAGCGACTGGTCACGCCTCGCGGCGTCATTGCACATCGCTACATTGCCAATAAAGAATGACGTATCGCTTCGGAGATGCCTCAGCCGAGCATAGATCAGTATTTTCGTTTGCTCGGGCTAAAATTTTCCCCGTAATATTAAGTACAGCTGCCAAATTATGCCGAGTTTTATTATACTCGATGCGTTTTATTTTTTATCCCCAAGAAAAACACTTTCCTTGTATCTACTGCTACTGGTTCACGTGATCAAGTCTCGTAAAAAAGGAGATGCCATTACTTGACTCATTTTCTCCGTTCTTTGTTGCTTCTAGTGCACTGTTCGTGCAGTTGATCTACAATGTTAATCTGGGACGCATTCAATTTCACGGAAAACTTTTTTTATTCGTGAATGAGACTTATCGAGGAAAAATATCTCAACAATCTTGGCAAAATTGGAGTTGTATAATTAATTGTATGCGTTGGAGGATCGACTTGAAGCACACCAGAGTCAAACGGATGAACGAATTAATCCACAATTTTTAAATAATAGAAGATGCCTCTGAATGGAACAGTAGTCGCACTGCTATCAAATCAAATCTGTTCAGTCGGTTATGTAATTTGATGCGTCGGCATGACTTTTAATTAAACGATCGTAGAACAACCAGCCAGTTGAATAAGGAGATATTTAGTATATTAGCCGTACACGGCGAAAAGAAAGTTGATCGTAAAAGGAGGAGCCAAGACTCAATTGTCATATAGAATCATACAGCAGAGAAAAATATGCCATAACAATTATCTTGGGACAATAAGCTAATAAGCTATATTATTCAGATGAATGACACCGCGAGAGTCGCACTTTTATTAGTCATGTCGTTTGATTAAGCCGCGTTCGCTCGGCGATTCTCGGCGCCACACTGTCAGATTGAACGGTCGAACTACCGATTGCGCGTTTATCTGGCGCTGTTGTCTTTTGCTTGTTGTCATTGATTAATAGTAAGCGCACAGCGAGCAACGAGAGCAGCTCTGGGACTTTCGACAAGTACGGCGCAATTAATCCACATGACGAATGCTTTTGCAAATATCGATCAGCCTCTGCGCTCACGCGACGCACGTGCTGTCGGCGGCGACTTTCCACCAAGTTCTAATTATATCGCTCTTGCTAACGATACGCGATATAGCGCGCGCGGGATGATGTGTGTTCGGCCACGTGATCGCGCGTTTCACTTGTGCGCCCGACAGGTCCGATTCAACTGCCGCTGGGCCATTTCCAGCTGACTCGGACTATAGCTAGCAATTGTTCATCGGACGTTCTCAAAATTACCGACGACGCCGCGAGAGCGGCAATTCAAACGTTGGCAGACGTCACTTCGAGAGGACCGATGGTTTCCGTCAGTTTTAGTGCGTCCTCTGTGAAAGTCAACTTACGCGATTGCTTTGGCGTGGCGCAGCCGCCGAGAATGTGACTGTGGCGGCGAATCGTCGAAGCCATCGAAACCTGCGAAACGGCAAGTATAGGGAGTCGGCGCGTATCGTTACAAGCGTCGAGTCGCGAGCGATGGGCAGCGAGAAAGCACCGAAGTTGTTCGGTGGCTGTCGAGTTCGGCTGGAAGGAGACGCGGTCCGGGAATGACTAGCGCCAATGGCGAGCAGCCGAGGCGTTCGCAGGTGTGAAAGCACGAGTAGAGTTCAAGCGTACCTGGATTAGCGAGGCGTGTGCGGCAGCGTTGTTGGCCCGAAAGAAGCTCGGCAAGCTCGCATCGAGATTACATGCCTCAAGCTTGAATGGGGTCGACTGACTGCGTGTCGCCGACCGTACGACTTTGGACCCAGCTGCCCCGACACTCTGAAGTCCAAGCGCAACACCGCTTGCTTTAATGGCACCGCCGACACTGAGACGGCCACTGCTATATGCGAGCGCGCGTCTCCTCTCCTCGCCGCACCTCGCCGCGCCACGCCACGCCACGCTGTCGCTACTTTCAGTCCCCGCTCCGAAGCCCCGGACAAAGACGGACGGACGACCGACTCGTCTGCCTCCACTCTCTCTCTCTCTCTCTCTCTCACGCAGCGCTGTAGCGTACCTCCATTTGATGATCTGCACCCCGTCATGGCTCCCCTCTCCCAACTTCGTGTCCCTCTCGTTTTCTCTTCGTTTCGGGCTCGCTTCGGCTGTCTTTCTATGTCCGTATTCCAAACTTCTTCGTTCGCCCCCGTGAAACTAGCAATGCTAAAAACGTCATCTCTCTACTCGGCTCGACGGTGGCGCGCCAGGGCCCAGAAAAGCGTCACCGTGAACCGGCCAACTTTGACTTTCTCCAAATCGGGGAGCTATTTACTCTGGCCAGTGATAACACCGATTGATAGTCGCGACTTCGGTCAGCTCGACGGTACGGCGTACTGCGCCTATAACTAGCTGTCGGTCAATGTGCATTTCTCGATTTACCTACACTTTAGCCACATCGAGATCTGCCTCGTTCTCAACAGCGTACGTTTTTAACACCGTTTCGTCATTACAATTCAAATATTTGAGCGTTCTCGCAGCTCTTACTGCGCTGATAATCATTTTGATGCTACAGTCCACATGCAAGTTTGAATAGTACATTATGCTGCTCTTGTTACAGATATTCACCTAATCCATGGTACGCTGAACAAATGTCGATCCCATTTAAAATTGCTTTGCTCCTGTGTATTAGAGTTATAATATCGAGCCATAATTGAGGTTCTTCACTGATTGACATTTAACCGCCGATGCATACCGGTATAAGCGCGGTACCGAAGGTTCCTGTAATCGACAAAAGATCTCAGCTAAACTTATGTGACAGCGTGACTTGTAGGCCTGTCGAAAGCACGAAAGGCAGATTGCGCAAGCAAGTTTTTCCGGGATAGGCTTGCGCGCACGCGTGTCCGGCGTGTCGCGCTCACACGACCACCGTCGGCGGACTCACGTTCCAGATAGTGGATAGCGCCGAGCCAAAACCGAAGGCACCGTTGCGCGCGTGTCAAAACTGCTGAGGCCCATCGCAATCCAAACGAAAAGTAAGGGGCCGCCGGAGCGCGCGACTCGCTCGTGGGAAAAAAGTGGCCAACTGCTGAGACAGGCGCCAATAAAAGCTGCCACAAGCTTGCCCATATCCAATTAATGCGATTAGCTGCACTTGGTCGCGCAGTTTTTGCTGACGGCTAATGTTTCGGCAGTTGTGCGCAGCCAGGTTATGCGATTGCTGCACGGAGAAGGCTCTCCTCGAGGCGCCCTCGCCCTTGGTAGCCTCGAGGTCAACGACTTCGTTATCTCTTCGAATTTTTAATCGACATCAATCGAGACTCGTTCGGCTGTCGGGAACAGCTCACTCATTGTGCGTACGCGCTTCGAGTCCACGTTTCTCTCACATCAATATATCGAGGAAGCCATCTCGTCAAGTCAACGTATCTTCTCGATGATTTGCAAGCTAGATTGACGTTGTTTGCGCGCCGAGCGCGTTCCCCTGCCTTTTTCTCCTCTCCTTAATCCAACAGCCCATCTCGCGCTTGCCATCGATTTCAAGCCTGCCGGATACTTTACCAGTGGGCGGAAAAGCTAGTCCGCGTGCGCTAACGAGCCACGCGTTTGCTATTGCGAAGAGAGCGCACGGAAATTAGATAAATGTATAGCTGAATCCGAGTGCCAAGTACGTCTGTGCAGTACGATTGGTATATTGGTACATTGTAGCAGAGGGGGCCAGTTCCTTCGTCCCTCTTCCAACTCGAGCTCCACTGCCGCGAATTATTCGAAGAGGACGGACTTATAATTAAGTGTCTCGCTTGAAACTGGTGCCGGTAATAGGGTGCGCAATCGAGGCAGTCGGCGAAGAATAAGCCTGGTTTCGCACCAAAAGCACGTTTTATTGGACCATAAGGCCGAGCCCAAGGCGAGACGTGCTAAGGCGCCTCCCGATATAAAGTCGTTTGGAATTTCTTGATTGCGCTTCATTGCGGCGGACACGCGTCTCCTCGGGAATGCAATATCTCCCCGTCGCGCATACCAGCGCGAGGGAATGGATTCGTCACTTTTTCATTCGATATTGCCAACGGACGTCTTTATATCTTTTGAAGCGCCGCCAACCAGCAACGCTACGTTCGCTTTTTGGAAGGGCGTGACGCGCGCTTTTGTTCGATCAACGCCGACAATTTGTTGCTATTTTCCAGTGTCCGTTCAGCCCACTGACCTTTTCAGGGAAGGAGTTTCAAGGCAAATCGCTATTTGGAATTGGAGCGAAGATCGGCTAGCGAATCCAGGCAACGCACGGACTGTCTCAAGGATAAAGTAGGGGTGATAAAACCTACAGTGTCATCGATGGCTCTATAATGGGCTGATAATGCCTGTAGCCTGTAGAGCTGTGTACGCGCCGGAAGCGAGAGCAAAAGAAAGAGAGAGAGTGAGAGAGAGAGAGAGAGCGAGAGCGAGCGCGCGCGCGGAGCGTGCGCCTAGGGGTAGCGACGTAGGCGAGCAGCGACGAGACTCGAGGACGGAAGGCTCAGTTGGCGAAGGATGAAGCTGCTGCTCGGGTGTCTTTGTCCGGCGCTCTGGCTGCTGCTGGTCGCTGCCAGGTTGCAACAGGCCCACGATCTCGAGCCCGTGCACTCGCTACCGCTCGGCTCCGAGGCCAGCTTGCACTGGAGGTGAGCTCTGCTTCATTAGCTTCCTCGAGTCTGCACCTATACGCGGCGTAGGCACTTCGTCCCCGTTCACCTGCGCTCTTTCACGCGATCAGGGTCGAGTTCGCGTCCGAGCAGATAGCGGCGGAAGTTCACTACGCTGCCGAAGAGTACGCCTGGTTTGCAGTGGGCTTCTCGAACTACGGCGAGCACAAGCCAGCGGACTATTGCGTGCTGTGGGTCGACTGGCGTCGCCAGACTCATCTCCAAGTAACGAGATCTCTGTTGATACAATTAGCCGTCCAATGATTGTCGGCAAGGCTGAAGGGCAGTCGATTTAATCGATCGCGATGGCGCTAGGATGCCTGGAGCGACGACAAGGGGACGCTCAATCTGGACGAGCAGCAGGATTGCACCCACTTCGAGTGGCGGAGGCGCGGCAACGTAACCAAGTTCGCCTTCGGCAGGAAATTCGACACTTGCGACGAGCACGACTACGTGATGGAGGTCGGTGGCGCGTGCCGGTAACTTGGCGACTGCTAATGACGAACGCGAACGGTAACTGGCAGGGCGGCACCACGCACGTGGTGTGGCTGAAAGGCAGCGGTCCGCTGAGCTCGTTGGCGGGCTTGCGGGTGGCGGACGCCAAGGCCTCCGGCATGTCGCGGACGGAGATGCTGCGGGTCCAGCACGCGAAGCCGCAGTTTCCGGGCGACGCCTGGCGGCACGAGGTCAGGGCCGATCGCGTGGAGGTGCCGAGCGCGGAGACCACCTATTGGTGCAAGGTGCACAAGCTACCGTCGACCCTGAGAAGAAAGTAAGGCTCGACTGGAGCGCGGGGGCGAGCGCGCAACGCGCGACCAACCACTGATCGGCCCGACTGACCCGCTGCGCCTTTGCCCGCGACCGCGACAGGCACCACGTGCTGCAGTTCGGGCCTGCGATCCAGCGAGGCAACGAGCACCTGGTCCACCACATGGAGGTGTTCCATTGCGCCGGGCCGGCGGATCTGCAGCTGCCGCTGTACGACGGGCCCTGCGACTCGCCCACTCGGCCGGAGCGCACGCAGGTTCGGTGGGCGATCGGTTGAAACCGAAGCGGCAGTCGGCCAGTGAAGGCGCTCGCTTGCGTTCGCGCAGATCTGCAAGAAGGTGCTGGCCGCCTGGGCGATGGGCGCGGAGGCCTTCGTGTACCCGCCGGAGGCGGGTCTGCCGATCGGCGGCGAGGGCTTCAACCGGCACGTGATGCTCGAGGTGCACTACAACAACCCCGAGCTGCGCGCGGGCAACGTCGACTCGTCCGGCATCGAGCTAGTGCTCAGCAGCAGCCTGCGCCGCTACGACGCGGGCGTGATCGAGTTGGGCCTGGAGTACAGCGACAAGATGGCCATCCCGCCGGGGCAGGTGAGTGCGCCGCGGGCGAGGTGAGTATGGCGCGGCCGCGATACGAGCGAGGGCCGGCTTGCGCAGGAGTCGTTCGTGCTGTCGGGCCACTGCGTCGCCGAGTGCACGGGCGTGGGGTTGGCGCAGGGCGGCGTCAAGGTCTTCGGCTCGCAGCTGCACACCCACCTCGCGGGCAGGCAGGTGGTCACGCGCCACGTGCGCGACGGCCAGGAGCTGCCGGCGCTCAACCGCGACCCCCACTACTCCACCCACTTCCAGGAGATCCGCCTGCTGGCGCGCCCCGTCAGTCTGCTGCCCGTAAGCGCTGCCGCGGCGCCAGTCGCGGTCGAGCCTCGCGCTCGCCTCGCGCTCGCCTCGGGCCTAACGCCAGTCTGCTGCCGCAGGGCGACTCGCTGATAACGACCTGCACGTACAGCACCGCGGACCGGCCGAACGTCACCCTGGGCGGCTTCGCCATCTCCGACGAGATGTGCGTCAACTACATCCACTACTACCCCAACTCCAGGCTCGAGGTACTGCCGATCGCGCGCCAGCTCGAGCCGACCGACCCTCCTCGCTTGTTGTGCGCGCAGGTGTGCAAGAGTGCCATCAGCGACGACGCGCTGGCCACCTACTTCCGCTACATGCGGGACTGGGAGAGCCAGGCCACGAGCAGTGACAGAGGCGTCTCCGACAACTACAGGAGTATCCAGTGGACGAGGGTGCGCGTGGCCGCTCTTCACGACCTTTACGAGGTCGCCCCCCTAGGTAGCAGCGTTCGCGCCTTCGCGCCGCAACACCTTATCGCCCGATCCACTCACGCCCTTCGAATCGCTTCCCCAGCAATGCAGTGCAACGCCTCCGACGGCTCGCGACTGCCGGGTCTCTGGGACAACATCGCCGCCACCCAGGTTCGACTTCCGCTCGCGCCACCGGCTCGTTCCTGTCCACAGCCGGAGTACCATCTGTAATCTCGTCGTCGCTCCTACACCTCTATCCACTTTCTCCAAGCTTATTCATTTTTCTCTGATTGTTGTTATAAATCTCATAATTATGTCGTATATATTTGAAGGAGAATAAAGGTGCAATTCAATGTGCAAAACATGTGAAAAGTCGTTCCAATCATAAGTTTGCGACTGTTGTGCATATTTCTTTTAAATTATAGCCACGTTGGATGTGTCAATTGAAATACTTTAAATCTCATTACGCGTTCATGTAACAGAGCTTATAAATGAATGTTCCATGCGGATTCACCCTCGTCTCTCTTTTCCTCTTCTGTTGCACGATGCAGCAAATCGATTGAAACTTGGGCTTTGTAGGTCTACCTAATATTGATAAGATATTATGATTTTGGAATAATAATAATTATTATTACGATATATATACATACATACATACATATATACATACATGTATATATATATATGTAAAATATAATCTAATAAGGTAGCAATAATCATCAATTTTACACATGCTAAGATCATACAATTGAAAAAGAAACATATCGGCTTAAATTTCTTTACTATCGTAATGTAAAAGACGTAAATCTTCATCTACCTTGAAAGAGAACTTTTGCTTACTTTAATTATTTTTTTCAATGATCCTCACAACAATTTCCGTGTACAAAGGTATGTGCATCGATTTCTTTTATCAAAACGTTTAATATTCAAGGTAGAAAATACGGTTATACTTAAGAATTATAAAAAATACTTCATATGTACTTTATGATACATAATACAGATGGGCCATTGCGTTCACGTCTAATATAATCAGCATACAAACTCGCATATACACGTGCATTCTAGCGTCAAGCAAAGTATGCATATATTCACTTGAATTAATTAATTCTTTTCACTCTCTTTTTTTTATGCTTCATATCACTGTATTCTTTAAAGTTTCAATGTGTTCAGTTTTCACGCAATATTCACGTATGAATGTCAATCAATGAGTTCGCGAGCTAACAATTAAACAGATTCCAAAGCTTAAAAATTTTTCTCTTCACGTATGATTTCACTTATTTTTGTAAACAGGTTAACAAAACTTTCTCGCTGTACCATTTATAACTTGGGACAGGTCTAGAAAAGGAGTAATTTTTACTGTCAAATGTTTTTGATTTCCTGTGCCATGTCAAAAAACAGACATAAATTTTTTCTTTGGTGCAATGGTTACTTTCAAAGCGAATGTAAACAATCTTATGTTTTTGACAGAACTACTTTTATCTTTAATTCTACTCCATTTCTCACAATTTTTCAATTAATACCAGATGAAAGGAGGCATTTACAAGTGAATGATTCGATTTGAAAAAATTCGTTGAACCATATCAATAGAAGAGTTGTTTGCACAACTATTTTTACGTACATTGTAACACGACCGCATTTTCAATCTATTGCTTTGACAATGGTTTATCAAAATGTTGAAAATTCAAAGTGTTGATAAACGGAATAGAATATTTTACAAAAATCTAAGCAATGAAAACACCAGTTTGTTGAATAAATATACATTGCACAACAGTGGAATGGACGAATTTGAATTTTATAGGAACAATAATCGAAAACTACATTTTCTACTTTCTCGTAATAGTTAGCAGCACATATATTCAGATTTAGCATACTTGTAAATTTATTGGTATAAAAGTTAAATACCTTTGATGTTTTTCAAGTTGGCAGTGACTTATAATATTTTTAAATCTTAGAAATTGTTCTATGACTGAGAAACATTTATAGTAAAGAATGTGTTAAAGCTGGTAAATTGATGGATAATTTTGTATGTTTGTTTGACTATGATACGAAAATCAGTTACCTTGTATTTCTTAGAAGGTACTGATTTTCTTAATATATATTATATGCCATTTTCATCTACGATTAAAAAGTGTTTCTTTTAGGTGTATTTACTATTTCGTTTTCAAGAATACATGGTACATAATGGTAAAGTATAAAATATAAAACTTGGCCTATCAACGCTAATTTTATTCGCGCATAATCATGTTCTTTAAGCAGTATTTCCTGTGGTACGTACATCAATTCGGGTTAAGCTGCTAATATTGCCTGCATAGATTATAATATAAAAAATACACGTTTCAAAATTCACGGACAACTCCTCAGACTTCAAGAGGGAACACACGAGGGCAACCTTCGGCGTTTTAAAAATATATATTTTTGTTACATTTAACATTTCTTTTGTAATGTGGGTTAAAATCAATGTACTCCAAAATTGTTGATACAAGAGTCTTCGATTAAAATATTATATAAACCACCATTTACCACCATCCGTAAAAATAAAAATATGATAGAATATTATAATTATAAAAATATGATGCCTTCTTCACGGATTTTCAAGCAAAGTCTTGTATGAAACTTAATTTACATTCCTCGTGATGTATAGTAAGATATTTCGATATTTCACAAAGAAGCTTTTCCGAATTGTCATTATGATTTTGATTAATTTTTCTTACTTCCAACTTGACTATACCGATTATTGCGATCTGATATTGCTGAATCAAAGTGTGAGACTTATTCATACTTTCTCCCCAGTTTTTATCACCTCATCAATCGAAAATATAATTTTATACGCAAACCGGAAGTAACTCCGCTCGCGAAGTTAATCGTTAATTTTATTTTCCAATTACGTAATTTATTAGCACACCTAATTTTTAATCAATAAAAATTTTTTTTGTAATCATTTTCAAAAACGCAAAATATAAAAAAATTCATATAAAACTTGTAATAGCAAAACAATGATTTTTTGTTTGTATATAAAAACATATTGGAGGTTTCCAATTTATGGTCCTGTCAAATATACCTTTTTCTTTATTAAATATTAGAATTTGGCCCGATAAAATTTTCCAGAAGGTGTTTGTTCTCTCATATGGAAATGAAAGATGTTGAAGCGAATATTTCTAGAACGAAACAACAATAACGCACTCAAACAAACACGTAGTAAAAAATAAAGTTCAAGCAAACATTGGACAATCGTTTTAAAATCAACGAAAGGTTCCCTATTGTTGGTTTCCGATAATCGTTGCTCGAAATACACTTCTATAATATAATATATGAATATTACACATTTTGACTAGAGGGTAGACGTTTGATTGTTCTGGTGCATATTTATCTGCAAAAAACAGTAAAGTATTCCGGCTTGCGCCATCACATCGACTGTGCCGGCTGCCAAAGGATCACGATTCTTGGCGTCGGGACGATTACTAGTTCCAGGTCTTAATAACGTGGGCCCAAAGACGGTGGCCAAATTATGCAAAGACATCTTGTTCTGGGCTTCAAACTTGTTAACGCGAATCAGATGTGCGAGTAGAAAATCGATGACGGCTTTATTAACCTGAGGGAGACTGTCGTAGACGCGGCGTAAGGCACTGCCCCGTGAAAGCTCACCGCTCTGGAAGGCGTCGAGGAAGGCAGGGTAGAGGGCATCAGTGAATAAGGCTTCAGGCATTTCGCGTAAGTAGAGTTTCAGGACACCAGTCACCGAATGAACATCCACCTGAAGAAAAAGACAGTTAGTCAGGATGAAAGTCGTGAAAACACTAACGCACGTTCGAATTTACCTCTTTCAATAGCTGTTCTGCTTCGTACGAGTTACTTTCAAATGACTTCCGTAATTTGGCCACATCTGAAGCAGAACCAGACACTCGGTAGAGACCTACTTCGGCCATCCCTCTTTTCTCCACTTCTCTTACGCACGCTGTTACTATGAATGGTACGTCGCGTTTTTCACGCCTGTAAATGAATGATCGAACATTTAATTCAATAGATATGTCTACTAATTTCCAAAATATCTTTAAAATTAATTGATACTTACTTGCAGACTTGCAGGATTTTAGCTCCAAATAGACCTTGAGGTTTAGCAGAGGGTACGCGTCGTAAGGTGACTTCGCTTGGAATAAATTTGAGTGTAACTTCGAGACTAGCTGAACCTAAGCTTAATGTCTTTGTTACTTGATCCCCAAGTAACCAAGAGCGACTCAAGCGTTGAGCACATTTCCCTCTCAATACAGATCGAGATCCACATTCTTCATACAGTAAGAATCTAACGTTTTGACTTCCTTCCAACTCAACGATAAAAGTTTGTCCTGTAATATAAAATTTTTAATTTTAGTAACTTGAAAAATGATAGTCTCCTTTAGTATGTTGATTGATACCAAAATGAAGCAAACTTATTTGACATACCCCAAATTGGCATTTGCCCTCTGGCAATGTGACTTTTTGCTCTTTTAAAGTAGTGTCCATAACTATCAACTTCTATTACTATATAAAAGTCACCAGTTCTGTCCAAGCCAGGCGACGTGATTCCCAGCAAAGTGAGCTGCAGATCTCCCAATAAAAGACATTCATCTCTACCGGAGCGCAATAAGTAACTACCCATGTCGGTTTGTAAATAAGTTCGACATGCTGCTATCCATGCTTTTAAATCATACATATTAAGCGGTAATGGTCCCGGTGGTTGTCCGCTCTGTAGTTCAAGTATAATTATTAACATTTTTTGTATTGCTTTGAATGATTTTCATATTTTATAAAACATAAAACCTGTTGCAATGCCTCAATAGCTTCTATCCACTGTGATCGTTCAAATTCGCTCGACAAAAAGAATGTATACGAATTTTGGATGCGATTTTGATTTTTTTGACCAACTTTAAGAATCAAGTTTGGTGATGCCAGCACTAATTGCGCCTCCAATTCAGCTAATTTTTTTCGATTTTTTTCTGAACCTCTTCCACCAATTCGTAGTTTTCTGTCATCATTTTTTTCCTCCCACAGAATTTGATCTCTAACTGTACAAGCTTGAGATCTGCCAAACAAAGGAACATTTTCATTAAACAGTTTCAACGTAAATAAATTCAATTAATGCTTTTTTTCGTTACCTAAGTACTACTACATTTGCTGGGCTATTTTCTCTCGGTTCAATACCATCTTCCATAACTACTACTTCAGACATAGGAATAAACCATTTTAATTCAAAAGTATATTTGTCTTTGCCAGAAGCCTTATATTTAGCACATGAAATGACATCGTTGAAAAGAAATAAATGCCTTAGCTTTCTATGACCATCAGATAATTCGACTACAAATGAATTTTTTACAAGCCTTCTTTGAGCACGATCATGGCTCTGTTGAAAAAATATTTTCGATTAGTCCTCGACTTTTGGTTTTTATAGTATTAGCATTTTATTTTTCATTTCATTTATATACCTTGAACATGGACTTTGTTTGAATTATATTGAATTCGTCCAAAAAATTACGAGTCATTGCTAATGCATCTGAAAGTGGGGCATGATCAGCGTGGTTTGATGGAGTGTGTTTCAATAAATCCTAAAAATAAAGTAAATTACGTAAAATAAACGGTATTAAAAAGACAGAAATAAAAAAAACATTACATGTAACACTAATGCATTTTTTTGAACTCGTGCTACTGGCTTATGTAAGAGATCTTCTAAAGATAATCCTGGTCCCTTTGGATAACCCCTTAGTCTAATATCTCTTGTAATTTCTGCAAATTGCGATGATTGCGAGGAACAGCGGCGTACTGTGTCAGTGGCACGAGCATAGTTATGAAGAAATGCACCATAATCTCGGATTTTACTTGCCATCACCTATAAAGTAAAATTAACAAAAGATCTTCTTAAAATATTGTATTACTAATGGTGAAAAATGTGAGACTCACCCTAAATTGTTCACCAATGGTAGTTTTATTATCCCATGTATCAAGTTTTTTTCGTAGATCATCTAAGAACTCTTGATGCAACCTATGTAAATCAGGGATTTTATAAAATATAGTGTTGAAGTCTTCTTGAGATATGACTGGCTGTGATGTGTTAACTGTAGCATTGATAGCTTTCATGTACTGAAAATTCATTGCTTATATTAAATGAAAAATCAATTCAATAGTTCAATGATAAACTACAGTTTTTAACTTGAAAATATCTAGTTTGTTACCTGTATCATAACATCCAAGCACTCAACATATATAGTTTCACTTTCAACAACAGAATTGATGATACATTTGACCATTGATGTTCTGTCATTATCTTGACTTTTACCTTTTTCCTGACGCCGAGGTGTTGTAGGTGTAGGTGATTCTAAACTGCCTTCACTGAGACTTAATGGTTCAGCATCACTGCTACCAGTTTCATTATCAGTACTCAAGGTACGCAGAAGAATAGGAGGGGCGGAATTTTCTTCGTCTTCACTATCCATTGCTGCACGATGTCTAAAAAAGTAATGGAAAGATTAGTTTTAAAATATACAAAACAAGAATGCAGATGTAATTTAACTATATAGTTTAACATCAATTTTTTATTTACTGAATAAAATAGTCAATGTTGACATAATTGCTCTGGTTCCCAGGAGAATCTGGTAGGGAAGGTGGTCTTCGTAATTGCACTTTGTTTTTGCCATTGCTTCCAATAGGAGGTGCATGGGCTTCAATATAAACATATTCTCCAGTTTGATCAAGAGCTACTGAATCATAGTAAGGCTCTTCTTCTGATGCATCCGCATCACCATCATCTGCATCTTCAAGAGGTTTTTCAGAACTTTTTTCATCTTCTTCTTTTACAGAATCTTCATTTTTATCTTTCTTTGAATTGCCTGTGACTTGAATAACAGTGATATAATTGCTTGGTATATCACTTGGATCACTGTTCCTCCTAGATTCAGGCACTTTCTCTGGACTTCTTGGTATTTCACTTTTTGGCCTTTTACTAGAACATAAAGTTGAACTCAACTCATTTACACATTTATTTTGTAATTTACTGAGATCTTCTCGAGCAGGAAGGGGTGGAGCACAATTATTAGCTTCCTCAGATTGAGCTGTTGAATCTAATACATTTGTCTCTGCAGAGTGGAAGCTTTGATGATTTGGTGATGCACCACCAGATCCTTTGGACTCTGAAGATGCAGATGCATTGGCTAATTTCTGTCTTTCAACATCTGCTAAAAGCCTTTCTAAGTATTCTACGTAAAACTCTTCTTTCTCTAATTCTTCCCTTAATTGATTAACCTAAAAATATGAATCGAATTTACAGGAACTGAAATATATGTTAGTTGAGCTACTATGAATAATACATGATATTATTAGTAGAGTTTTATTTTTAACCTCATTATTGATTTATATATGCTTATGACCTAATAAAATTTATTTGATCTCAAACCTATTATTATAACAAGAGTATTAAAATTGCACGCATGAATAAGTTTAAAAGTATGAATATTACTGCAATATTTTCTTAATTATTTCAGTAAAGTTTAAAAATGGGAATTATCTTTAATTAAAAATATTGAAATATTACTTCTTATATTAAGCTTCATTGCATAAAATTATCTAAAATGCATAAACTGCATTATAGTATCCATTCTATCTTATCTTGATTAAATAACTAGATATTCACATAAATGCTTTTTCTGAAAATTTAGAAAACATGAAAAATGAAAAATAAAGACAGAATTAAAGTAAATTAAAGTAAGTTATTAGAAGTTATTAGAAAGAAAATAATCTCATTCAAGATCATTATTTGTACAATTTACAATTATATATTGTGTTGAGTATATTGAATATTTCGGAAATATTCAAAATGATAAGAGAAGCATATCTCGCTTATGCTACTCATAAACAGTGCCACCGCCCAATTAAAGCCTCTATCAAATAGGATGATTCATCAGCACAAGTAACCCATAAAACCAAACATGTTATAAATGCTGTATTCAATTACAATAATGCTTCAATTATAATTTTATAAATTTAGGAGACTATAAAGATAAATGCAAGATAAAGGCAAACAAATTTCTGGTAAAAATGATGATCATGAAACAGTTAACCTTATGATAAGCTGATAAAATTTTTCATGCTAGTGATAATATGAGTAATGGAAGCAAGTTTCTAAAAGAAAATAAAAATAATATACCTTTTGTTTATGTTTGACCAGATTTGCTCTAACATCTTCTTCCCATGCAGCTGGTAAAGCACTATCTGGGAAGCGATCCTGCCAGACCCGCTGGAAGTCTCCGAAAACACTCATCCCTATAAGTAACACACATGCAATGTACTACTGACAATTTTGTAATTTAAGCAGGTAAATTAAGAAATCAATAGAAAATAACGAGAACGTCCTGTTGGTAGATGCATTTTCTAAGTTGCAGTATAAAGCTTCCAAGTGATTTTCATTGAAATAAGAATTTCACAAACGTGAGAGTTACTGAGTGTTTAAAAACTCTTTCTCAATGCATCTTGTAATTTTAAGGCAAATCTTCCGAATAGACCTCCGAAGTTAGTGTATCAAGAAAGATGTGCATGTGCAATGGAGATACATGGTGCTTCTAGCTAGGGACAAAAAAGGTCTGAACTAGTTGTAAAAGGGTATAATTGTAAAATCCCAAACATAGTCGGTATTGACTGAGCAAGAAGAATTGAACCATTCTAAATAAAAGAAAACTAGGGCCAGAATACGACGATGAACAGCTGCACATGCACATTGCACAAACACGCACCCACATACACACATCGCATGCACGCACCAGTTGTTTCCCGAGTGGTGTGTTGATAATAGTTGGCAGTGCGGCGAGAAAACGCCCGTCGTTTTCTCAGATCAGGCGGCTCGGCTCATCGCACTTGTCACCGTCGTCGTCGTTGCACGCGCGCAACACAATCTTGTTGTTGTCTGGCTCAAGCCGCGATGACTACACTGCTTTTGCTTACTCTGCTCTCTGTTATCTCCTGCACGGATGGACATAGACTGTACTTGTTCTCTCTTTCTCTCTCTTTCTCTCTCTCTCTCTCTCTCTCTCTCTCTCTCTACCCGACTCTCTCTCTCTCTCTCCCTCTCTCTTGAATACAGGAGGTGAGGCGCGCTGCTCTCTTTTTCAGCCGCTTAGCCAGAGTAGTGGAAGTGGAGAGTACAGCACTCGTCTCACTTGCGCGTTACGATGATTGTTTTTTATTATTGTCAAGATATAGTCGTAGTTCGGCACGCCCCGTTGATTATTAGCGTAATATTTGGAACGTGGCCGCACGCATGCGTTCGCGATTGAAGGCTTAATTCTACAATATATGTACATTAGTCTAGACTATAGACACCGAAGAGTCAATGCCAGTTAGTGTAGCAAACGTAGTTTCTCTGCGTCATTTTCTCTGATTTTTGCCTATATCCTCTGATAATATCGCTATCGGATATACCATGCGAATAATTTAGAATCGATTCGCAAACAATAAGTCAACGGCTATTATTGTTTGTGAATCAATCAATGATAAAGCACGTTTTAGCAACATTTAATTGAAAAAAAATGATGACTTGATTTGAACTTTAACTTAGGCTATATATATTCTCTCCATTTTTAAAAGTTGCGGCGGTATAAATATGTTTGTATGTTTCGATTTACTAAACCTTTTTGTATAAAAACTAGGTAAAGTTAAAATGAGTTGTGAAAGCAACAGGAATCCTATTATTTAATTTACCCATTACAATTCATAATGGCGAAGAAATGTCTCTACGACTGTAGCCTATCGTTGATATAGGATTGGAAATAACTGTTTTTAATAAAATTGTGTGTGTGTGTGTGTGTGTGTGCGTGGGTGCGCGCGCGCTTGTGTCATTTATGTCACCAAATTGAAACAATAGTACATTGAAGCATATAATTGAAAAATGAAGCAAAAAACTCGAGCCTTTTATTATAAATTGGAAATACAAAGGCCTATTGACGGACAACCATCGAGACGACGTAGATGAATATAACAGTCAAGAATTGACGCACAGAGAAATTTGGGTACATACATTTCGATACTATATAGTGCGAGAAAGTAATTTAATCTATTAACGTCCAGAACCGTCAATTTGTTAACATGCTTTCGACTGTAAAATTCATATGTATAATTAAACAATAAATATTAGCTGGAGTCTAAGTAATTTCCAACGCAGCTATGTAGAATCTATTATTCGAATTTACCTGCTAAGAGTAACCATAACAAGTTTTTATTTTCATTAGTTACACGAAGTTTCCGTTAGTCTTTTGTCAACAACTTTGTATGATACACGTTAAAATAAACTATTTATTTATCCTCTGAAATGGAGAGCCAAAAATTAAATATTAGTTATGTGATGCTTTGGGAATTCAAACAAGGCAATAATGCTACGGCGATAGCCGAAAATATATGCAGGGCGTATGGTAAAGGATTGATAACTGATCGGGTAGTTAGATATTGGTTCGTAAAATTCCGTTCTGGAGATATGACTTTAAAAGACGAACCGAGGGTGAGACGTCCTTCCAACTTCGACGACAATCTGTTAAAGGCAGTATTAGAGCAAAATCCACGTTAATCGACAAGATGTATAGCAGAACGATCGAAAACATCGCAATCAACATTTCTTCGCTACCTAGAGAAATAAGGGAAAGTAGAAACGGAAGTTACTTATGCATCAACCTAATCATCAAAGGTACCATTCTTTACGTTTTAGATTTATTAAATTCAAATCTCGTGATCAAAATTAAAAAATGTTGACTACAAAATTAAATATGGCGGTTTTTGTATATAAAAATAATGAAAAGGGTTTTATTTTTCATTTTTATGATTTTTTTTTATCTAAAATGTGGCAGTATCCTAATCTCCTCAACTATAAGTGCCCAAAATTGTTAAACTTTAACAAAGAATTTTTATATATATCCTTTTTCTTCTAATATGTTTCTGTTCTTTTTATTATCGTTATTTTTTATAAAACTTTAAGGTTTAACCCTTTGCGGCATAGTGGTAAGTATACTTACCACCTTTTTGAAATGAGATTTTCATGTATGAAGGGCTCTAATAAATCGTTGCTCACGGGGATTTTTAATATTTTATCCTTCTAATATGTTAATGAATGTATAACTATATCAAATTATCGATTTTTAGTCGCCATTTTTTAAAAAATGGCTGAAAAGTGCACCAAAATGACGATTATTGTTTCAAAAATGTGTGCCGCAAAGGGTTAAAAAAACATCCAAAGAACAAAAATGTCTTAAAATTAGTTAATACTTTCATATTTTTTTTATATTTTTAGAGAAAATTTTTGATTTTTTTTTGAATCACATAATTAAAATTTCAAAAAACTTTCAAAAATTGTGAAACAATTCAGGAATGTTTTTTGACTAATTCTAAGACATTTTAGTTCTTAGCAAATTTTCAACAAAACCTTTAGATTTAAAAATAGTACATTACGTAACGCGACAAACTTTGCCCGTGCGACAATCACATACTTCACGCACAAGTTACGTACAAAAATTATCGAACTTCATAAGAACTTTTATATATATTTTGGATTGTTATAGATGATTCATGGTTGAAATGTACGATATTTTCGTTATTCAGGAAATTCTAAACAAAGAAATTTAAAAATTGATAAATTAAATATGCAGTTGCGTGCATAAGTTTTTGGCCAGCCTATACTGAAATTATTAAAAATTCAAAGTTTCATAGTTTTCGCTTGGAAATAGTCGTACGTAAACTCGCGAGGGTAAATAATTTTATAGGGTAAAGTAATACCTTTCATATTTTGCTGGTTTTTTAAATAATTGAAAATAGCAGTTTTTACACTAAAAAAACTGGATCATTTTTAATGAATTAAAAAAAGAAATTACGATAAAAAAATGAAATACCTCGTTGTGTATAAGTGAGATAACTCAGTGAGATAACTCACTTATATCTCGTTGGGTATAAGTGAGTGCAAGTGTACTTGAGTGAGGGGTTTCGCCATCGAGGGCGAAACCGTGCATGCGAGTTTTCGAACAGCAAACAAAAAAACTATAGACTTTGCCAGAACTCGATAGTGTGCTGCGTTCTCTCTTGCTGCTGTACGACCGTTAATAAGGTAAGCTGGCCAGCTTAATTTCGCGATCGCGATAGAATTGCTAATAATTAATCTCTCGTATTCGACAAGAAATGCGCATGTAATAGCTCTGCGAACAATGAGCGGCGAGCGATCTGACACTGCATGTTAATGTCGTGCGCGCGTCTTGTAAACATAAACACGCGGGCCTAATACATTGTATAGTTTAGAGAAAATACCGTTCCCTCCTGCTCTCCAGTCTTCGTGTTTGAACATTCAGGTAATCACGCGCGCTTTTCTATGCGATCGCGCGCTTAAAATAAAAAGACGGTATTAACCCCATTATAATTTATTTTTTATTTATTTATGTATTTAAACTCGTATCCCCTAGACGGTATTTGCGACATGTTAATTTGTTATATATAGGTATTGGTTACATAGATTTTACAAGTTTGCAAATCTACATACACTGCCGGTAATCTACTTTAGGCCCCCCGTTACAAAATGAGTCAATCTTTAAAGTTCAATGTCTTTAGTAAAAATTAACATACAGGGTCATCCGTGCGCGCGTTTGTAAGGTCCTTCCAATTTGCAAAATCTGGAAAAAAATCTTACAAAAATTTGAGTAAGAGCATTTTTTAGCTTTTATCGAACTTTACCTAAATCACAGGTCAAAAAATTATTTACGTCAAAACCGATGCGCGCAAGTAAATTCTAAAAATTCAAAATAATGTATAGGACGAAAAATGTTCGTTTTTGCAAGTGGAATACTGTACTATTTTTTTTTCACAGCCAAAAATATGAAAAACTATATCAAATTTTTTTTTTCACTCATATAATATTATTCTATAATAAATATCATGAATTTTGCAAAAAAAAAAAAGAGAAAATTCTTTTTTTTGTTTTATTTCAGGAATTTTTTGTTTCCTGCTATTATTAAAATTGCATTAGGTTTTGTCCATAGAGAATTTAAAGCCAAAGGTATCAAATTCTGTTAAGTTGTTTAGAACGTTTGCATTAATTTCTCGCTCATTTTTACATTCTTTCTTCAGGTAAATAGCGTTACGTCGTCAGTAAATTTTGTTATTAATACAGGGGGTGAAATGTGTTTAGAGATATCATTTATTACTAACAAAAAGAGTGACACACTAATGACTGAGCTATGTGGGACACTATTTGATATACAAATGGGATCGGAGTATGAGTCGTTAATTCTTACTTTGATTTGACGATAGCATAAGAAGTTTTTAATAAAGTGGTAGAGGTTGTCTGATATTTCGAGGTTTTGGATTATTTGTAGTAGTCTTTGTCTCCAGAGTAGGTCGTATGCTTTTTCCATGTCTAGGCATACTGTTAGCATACGTTGATTGTCATTGAAGGATGTATGTGAGATGCGAACGTGACGAAGCAATCTAGTGTACTGCATTTATTTCGAAATCCGTTTTGTACTATGTTGAGAATGTTATTTGATTTTAAGAACCACTTTAGTCTTTTGTTAATTATTTTCTCGGTCTGTAGTTGTTTTTATTTGTTTTTTTTTTGGTTTTAGTATAGGTACGACAACGTCTTCTTTTCATATTTTGGGAAATTGTTTTTAGGACCATATTATATTGAATATTTTAAGTAAGCACTTTCGGCCAGAGCGAGGGAGTTGTTTTATTAATATATTTGGAATGAGATCGGGTACGGGGCTTGTATTTTTACTTATTTCGAGTACTTGGAGTTCTTCTTTTATATTGTCGTTGATAGAGTCGTTATTTAGATTTTCGGGTGAATCAGGTAGCTTTTCTTTCATTTTTTTATATTGATAGAATTCATCAGAGAGATTTGGAGGCTGTAAATGTTTGCTATGGAGGTCTTTTCGGTTATTACGTTTTGACGTTTTGGTCTTCGATTAATGCTGGGATACTGTTGAAATGGTTATTTTTTAGTAATTTGATTTGTTGCTATACTTCTTTTATTGGAGTTTGGTAGGCGAAAGTGTTGAGGTATTGAATCCATGCTTCGGTTTTGCTTTTATTGATGACGAATTTGACTATTGCTTTACATTTTTAAAATTATATTTTATTTGTTTCTATGTTTTTTCTTTTGTGTCAGTTAAGGACTTTTTTGGAGTATTTTATTGCTGTTGCGCGTTCTTCATTCCACCATATAGTTCGGTGTTTTTGTTTTTTTCCTTTGGACTTCGGAATACTTTCGTTAGCTGCTTTGGTAATTAGGTCATTGAATTTACCAATTATTGTGTCGATTGATATTTTGTTGGTGTTTAGTTTTTCATTTATATATTCATTTATGTTATTTATTTTATCTTCTATGATTTGTTTGTATTGAATCTAGTTAGCTTGGTTAAGTAACCATTTTTCGGTAGGTGTGCCTTCATCAGATTTAGTTTAGTTTATTGAAATAATTATTAGGTAGTGGTCACTGCCGTAAAAGTAGTCAAGAGTGTGCCATGAGAGTGTTGCCCCGAGTTCGGAGCTACAGAAACTGAGATCAATTGTACTAGTTTTCCCCGCAGATGCGTTGAAGTATGTGCTGCTTAAGTCTTGTAATAGGATGAAATTGTTGTTAAAAATTAATTTTTCGATTTTATTTCCTCTTTGATCGTTTTTGTAGGATCTCCAGGTGATGTTGTGGCTATTGAAGTCGCCTAGTAGTATGAAGGGAGTTGTGAGTTGATTAATGAGATTGTTTAAGTCATTTATGTTTAGTTTGTATTTGTTGCTGAAATATATATTGCATATTGTTATTATTTTGTTGTTGAATTTCACATAAGCTACTATTGTTTCAATTGTTGTGCTTAGTTGTAGTTCTTGGCTATATATATTGTTTTTGACTAATATACTAATACCTCAGCTAGTAATAAGACAGTCTTTTCTGATTTTATTATAGTTATTGTAGTTTTTTATTTTGATTGATTGGTTTGTTTTTAGCTTGGTTTCTTGTAGACATATTATTTCTGGATTTTCTTAGTTGATTATTAATTGTTGGATTATTATTGGATTGGTACATTATTAGTTATTTTGTTCGTTGTCCGATTGGGATGGTAAGTTTGGAGTTGACAAGATCTTGGTAAAATTGTTTATTAGAATAATTTTCATTAGAATTTTCAGCAATTTAGTACATCTAGATTTTATATGGGGGTTGCTTATGTTTGGATAGATTTCGTCTGATATAAATTTTGTGTATTGGTATATAATGTCGATAGGGTTTTTGATTCCTTTGGTGTTATATGGTGTTATGGTTATAATTTAATATACCGTTTATTCTGTCTAAATAGTCTTTAATACTAATTAATTTACTATCCGTTTCATCAGGTTTAACATTGTTTATTTGGTCATTATTTTGTGATGTATTATTTTTGGGTGGGTTTGGAGTTGAATGTATTTGCGGTCGAGTGTTCATGGTGTCTTTGTCGTAATTTGTTTTTAAGATATTGGGAGACCCATCAAGATTCTCGATCAGTCTTTTTTTGATTTATTTTTTGATAATAGATCGGATAAAGTGTTCTAGAGAGCTATTTCCTTCGGAGTTAACGTCTGAACGGGTTCTTTTATTACCTTTTCCTCGTGATTCAGGTTTCGGTTCGGGCTCGGCGAGACTGGTTTCGTCGGACGTGTTTATATCAGTACTCCGTTGATTTGATGTAAATTGTAAATCAATAATATGTGACTACAGTATTGAGTAATCGAATTATTTTGTACATTTCTTGACTCTTGTAATTGTGTTTAATTTCTACGGTAATTATAGTGGTAACGGTAGTTTTGTAATACGGTGTTGGATGTTTCGAATATTAATTACTTTATGTCCATATTCCTTAATGGTATTTTTTAACTCTTCAATGTCGACTGATGGGCGCATACTTCTTAAAATGACTTCAAAACCTTTGTCTTCTTTACGCTGATGTGTAAAAATTCATGTTTTTTTCTTTGAGGGCACTAATTATCGGCATATACTTTTCCGATATGGTTGGTTGAATTTTCACTTTGTTTTGCGCTAATATTTTTAAAGTGTAATTCTCCTTGGCTATGGAGTTTAACAAGGATTCTCATGGTTGTGAATATTTTCAACGTTGAAAACGAAGATAGGAGGTGATTTGATTGGCATCGTGTTATCTTCTTTTGAATTTTCTGTAGTTGCTTTGTTTCCGTCAGAATTTTTTTTTCTTGTAGAATGTCGAACTTGTTACTGTTTTGATTCAGCCAATATTCGGGTAGATGTGTTTTCCGTTGTTTTTTGTTTTAAGCGTATTTATCTGGGCTATTTCGCTGCCTTTTGCTACTAACTATTTTTCACTTCTTAGTATTGTTTTGCGTGAGAGTAAGTATAATGTCCCCTATTTTAGCTATTTTGGCGGTTACTAATTCTTATTGTTATTATGCAGTTTGATTTTTATTTTAAATGTTACTCCACTTGATAAATTAATACTTTAGCTTTTCGGGTAGAATCCAGTATTGGCACGTCTGTTCACCTTGATGGTCAAACATTGAATGACTGTAAATAACTTCTCAATAACCGACTGGAAAAAATATACACGTTTCATAGAGAAACATATCAAATGTAATGTACCTCTAAAATCAGCTATTTATATTAAAAGCAGTATTCAATCATTCAACTAACTCCTGACTGAAGCCATTAACCAATGCTCTACTGCTGTAATGAAGAGAAAATCTCAACAAGTTATTTCCACTACAATAACATTGAAAATTAAAGAAAAGAGACTACTTAGAAAAATGTATGAGATTACTAGATCGAGCCAAGATAAAATGAAATTAAATAGACCAGCCAAAGAATTAAAATGTAGAAATGCAGAAATGCAGAAGAATTTCAGAGCACTTAGTTTAACCGAAGTAATAGATTACTCATTGTGGAAAGGCTCATTGTCAAACGGCTAAATAGACCATCGTCATTCATACCACTTATTTGAAAAAAAAACTGTGAAATATGAGCCAGATCATACGAGGAAAAAACGGCAACTTTCGCAAATTATCTAAATGAAGTATTCAAATCTCCTCAAAGGACAATCTCTGAACAAGAAGAAACCTTACTGAAAGATCCCAATATCCAGGACAGCACTCCAACTAAACTAGTTAATATAAGGGAAGTATTCACAATAATAATATAAAATATAAAAAGCTCCATGTTATGATAATATTACATGAAAAATGATTAAAAAGCTTCCTGCAAAAGCAACTCGATACATAACAATAATATTTAATGCATACTACTAAAAGTTAACCGCGGAGGCTTTTAATCGTAGATGGCAACGAATACTTAATGATCGACTCGACGCGTTCTTCCATAGGAGCGATGCCGTTAGCATTAACTTTGTACCCGAGAAAAGTTATTTTGCTTTGACCGAACACACATTTTCCGGGATTAACCACCACGCCATACTCAGAAAAACGATCAAACAAAATCTTCAAGTGCTCGAGATGTTGCTTCTCATCATCCGATGCGATCAAAAAATCGTCGATGTACGCGAATACAAAATCTAAACCGCGTACACAATCTCGTCAACAAAACGTTGACACGTCTGCGCAGCGTTTCTTAGACCGAACATCATCATAAGCGGCTCGAATAATCCGAAAGGCGTTGTAAGCGCTGCTTTTTCGGTGTCTTCCGGGGCGATGGGAAATTGATGAAACGCTCGCACAAGGTCGATTTTCGAAAATACCTTTTTGCCGTGTAGATTATACGCAAAATCTTCGATGTGTGGCGGAGTGTAGTTGTCTGCGACGGTGCGTTCGTTGAGGGCGCGATAATCGCCGCATGGACGAGGGCTTCCGTCCTTCTTAGCAGCAACGTGGAGTGGCGTCGACCATGGGCTCTTTGATGGCCGCATGACGCCTTGCCGTCACAGCATGTCAAATTCGGCTTTTACTACCTTCAACCGATCAGGTCTAAGACGACGAGGCTTCGCACGTATAGGCGGACCAGGCGTCGTCTTGATGTGGTGCTGTACTCGATGCTTGATTTCGCCTTTCCGAAAACTTGGCGGGCGTGTGAGGTCCGGGTACTTGGCCAAAAGCTCGTGATACGCAGAGACACCGATCACTGTTTTAACTGACGTCTTCCCTCCTTCGAATGAGATTCCGCGCACTGACAAACCTGTGGTATTATCGATCAAGGTTTTTCTTTTTGGATCGATTAGCAGGCCATAATGCGAGAGGAAATCCATTCCGATAATCGCGGAACTCACGTCGGCGATGACGAACGGCCAGTTAAACTTGCGGCGTAGCGATAGGTTAAGACTTAAGGACACGATTCCGTAGGTGCTAATTGTAGATCCGTTAGCAGCAAAGAGTTCGTAAGCACTTTTCTTCGTTTCCTTGGCCAGCCACTTTCGCGGGTATACGCACAAATGAGCACCAGTATCCACGAGGAAAGATTTATTTGAATTAAAGTCTTTCACATGAATTCGGCGATACGCGAAGTCGTCAGAACTCGCCGCGTTTACTGACGGCGCGCGTCGTTTCCCGACCAGGTACATGGTCCACGGCACTTTTCCGCACGCTCCTGAAACCTCTTATGGTAAAAACAAAGGTACCCATCCGGAGAGTTGTTGTTCGGCGTCGGTGCAGGAGTCATACCGCGACCACGTTTTTCAAATCCTCGGCGAGAACGAGAACGTGAGCGGCTTTGCTGACTAGTAATCGCGTCGATTTTCGCCGTCAGCTTGCGCATCTGTTCGACGAGAGCAGCGAAATCAGAAATTTCACTGATCTGCTGCTTAGGCTGTTGAGGGTTTACGGCGTGAACCGTGTCGGCCAACTTCAAAACTTTATCCAGTTCTGTCTCGCTGGAAGCTACCATGACAGCTTGCACTTGCAAGGGTAGACGAGTCGTCCATACCTGAAGAATGAACTCGTCAGTCGTTGACGACGTCGCGTGCGTCTTCATGCTCCGGTAAAATTCGGAAGGAGTGCGGTCTCCCATCTCCTCGCCTTCGAGCAACTTGCGTACGCGCGCGCTATCTGATTCGGTGAAACGCTCGATCAGCTTCACCTTCAGATCGTCGTATAAGTCTTGGTTCGGTGCGTTGGCGAGGACATCTTCCACTTTCGCGATGGCACATGGCGTCAAAGCTGCGACAGATTGGCAGTATTTGGCCTCGTCGTCTGTGATGCTGGCATTCTTGAATGCAACTTCCATGAGCCGAAACCATAATTTCACGTTGCTTTCCGTGAACGGTGGAGCACGGAAATGTCGTAGCGTTTGTACGTTGACGATCGGAGCAACAGTAGCGGCGGCGGCAACGTCGTCCGTCGTGGTTGTAGATGTTTGAAAGAATTTATGTAGCACTGATTTGAATGACGATTCACTCCACACGTTACACTTATTCACCCAGATCACGCGTCGGGGTCACCAATTTGTCACCGTGGGCGCAGGGTGAAATAAACTTTTAGTTGGAGTGAGGATAACTTTATTTAATTCAAAACAAGACTTACAAATGTAACGCGACTCGGCAGAACGTAAACCGCGAAGCTGGCAGAAGGCCGAGCTGTTAGCTGGTCTCGGGTTCGGGCTAGAGTGCCGGGGCTCGCCCCAACTGCCTGGCGTTTCTCCTCGGAAGAATCCAGTCAAAAGGGCAAGTCCCTCCCACACGAGGTTCGTGGAAAGGGTAGCTGGGACCGCGGGTTGACATTAAAAAAACGAAAGTTGGGCGCGCGTTTTCCCTTAAATAAACTCATTAACGCGGACGCGCGACCGTCGACGTTTAATGTGTTTATTGCAGATGGCCATAAAGTCTCCAGCAATTCGTTCGAGAATTATGAAGTTTTTCTGCATAAAACGGTAAACTTCTGGCCAACACGTGGAGAGAAAGTGCACGCCACATATCTGTAGCGAGGAAATCCATTGAAAATAAACAACACAGGCATATTTTCAGACGTTACTCAGGCGTTTGACAAAGTCTGTCATAATGGGCTTCTACACAAACTGAAGGAATTTTTTCCTAAACGCTACAGCAACCTGTTACAATTATACCTGTAAGATAGAACTTTTCAAGTAAAAATGAATAAACAAAAAGCTTCGGAATGCCAAGTAATAAAAGTAGGAGTACCGCAAGGTAGTATTTTAAGCTTAACACTATACCTGTTATACACATCGGGCCTACCAAAGTTTCCAAATATTTCGACAGCAACATATGTAAACGATACAGCAATATTAACAACACATCAAGAAGCAACAATAGCATCAGAAACACTACATAATTACGTAAATAACCATTTTCAAAATTGGCTAAACTCATGGAGAATAATAATAAACGAGAGTAAATCTATTAACACCACATTTACTCTCTGTAAAGATACTAGTCCGCCTATTAAACTGAACAACAAATACATTATACAAAAAGATCATATCAAATACTTAGGAATGCATTTGGATAGAAGATAGATATCGAACGAACATATTCACAAAACGAAAACAGCTGGAACTAAAATGAAAGAAAATGTACTGATTCATTGGAGGAAAATTGGAGATAACAATCAAAAATAAACTTCTGCTTTACAAAGCTGTACTCAAACCAGTCTGGACCTATGGCATTTAACTTTGGGGAGACGCTTCGAGTTCAAATGAAATTATGGCGCCGCGCACCACCCTGCTGCGCACGCCACTCAGACTTCAGCGCTACCACTAGCGCTGAGGCTGAGAGTCAGCACTGTCAGCAGCGATGGAGCTAGAGCAGATGGCGCAAATGCGTGAACATGACGAAAAGCCGTTTCGGAGCAGCCAACGATTCTCTGTCTCTCTCCTTCCAGACGCCGACGCGGACAGCTCTCTCGCAATGTGTTCTGGTTGACATTATTTTAGCCATTGTCTACACGCGTCACTTCCGCGTATTCTTCCTAGCTCTTCAGCCCACGTGCCATCACCAATATCTTAAAATTCAGTAAATATTTCTTGTGACTTGAACGGCTAACTTTTGATTTTTGAACCTTTGCCGCTTTCAGTCTTCGTTCTCGTGAGTTCGGTGATCCTGTTATCTTGGGATCCCGAAATTGGTAACTCCGAGAGTGAAAGTTGGCTCCGGGTTAACTTGAGAAATGTCTCCCCTGAGTGTGGAATTTCTACAAAAATAAAAAAACGACGAATTTCGGACTTGGGCCCAGGAAGTAGATCCAAGCTTCGCTTCACCTGGCTACAGACGCGTCAAGCTCAGCCTTGGAAGCCGCTCTCTCTCTCGTAGAGTTCTCTCGCAACGCGTGTTCTGATCTGCATTATTTTAGCCAGCATTATTGCTGCTCCTGATTTTTGAACCTTTGCCGCTTCCATTTCTCGTTCTCGAAAGTTAGATGATCCTGCTATTTTGGGATCCCGAAAAAATCCTAGGAAGATTTCAATCGAAAGTCTTACGGAACATAGTACACGCGCTATAGTTCGTTCCCAACGAAGTTATCCGAAATGATTTATAAATTGCATCGGTAAAAGAAAAAATTTTTACGTAAAATACAATATAAGACTACAAAACCAAACAAACAAACTTATCAGCAAATTTTTCTTAGAATCAATTACGAACATTAGACTCAAGAAGCATCAAATAAAAAAATAATCAAACATCAAGATAACAACCTTTATAAGTACCCATAAATTTCAAGTCCAAGATAGAATGCTCACTGGAGTACTCTGCTGAATTCATGTAGATATCTGTATAGCAATAAAATTGACCTATTATCTTTATAAATGTAGACAAAATGTGAATAAATTTTAGAGTAAATAAAAAAAAAAGTTAAAATAATGTTTTACTCTTAGCGTATAATCCACAGAGACAACGGCGTGGATATGATAAATTTATGTCTTCTTTGCTATGCTTATTTATAGTGAGTCCCCTTGCCTCTCACTGTACGAGGTACATACTTGTATCTAGTAGGTCCTCTTGTCTCTCACTGTGTGTGCTTCACTTGAATTCACTTTGAATTGTTTATCATGAGTCCCTTGTCTCTCACATTCATTTAGATGTTCAAGTGATTTTTCATCATATATCACTATAAAAAAAATAAATTATAGTTTTTACAGAATTTATGTTCTTATTGGACAATTAGAACACTTTTATTGTTTATTTTATCGTGTCATTGCATGTTTTTCCTGATTTTTCTGTTTATAGGCTTCGGTAAATATTTTCTAAAAATAAAAACTAAAAACAATTAGTCAAAAAACAATCTTGAATTTTTCCGAATTTTGGAAAAACTTTTTCGTAATTTTGTGGTTTTTAAAAAAATCAAAAGTTTTCTCCAAATAATGCTAAAAAATTTTACTAATTTTTCTTTGACTAATTTTAAGACATTTTTGTTCTATGGAATTTTTTTGTCAATTTTAAAAGTTTTTGTAAAAAATAACGATAATGAGAAAAGTCGGTTTTTGGAAGATTTTTGCAATGTATCTGCCATATTGGAAGAAAAAGCATATATTTATATAAATTCCTTGTTTAACAATTTTAGGCACTTATGGTTGGAAAAAGATTACGATAATGTCACGTTTTAGATTAGAAAAAGTCATAAAAATGAAAAATAAAACCCTTTTCATTATTTTTATGTACAAAAACTGCCATATTTAATTTTCTAGTCGACATTTTAAATTCGGAACACGGGATTCGAATTTAATGCATCTAAATATGTAAGGAATTGCAACTTTTATCTATTTATTGTTTAATCACACATATATATTTTGCGGTCGAAAGCATGATAAAAAAGTCAAGTCTCCGTGTACGGAAATAATTTATGTCCAAAGAGTCATTTGGTAGTACTTTCAATAATAACATATCATATACAAATTCTTTTTTTATGTCGGCTAAGCGTGTATTAGATTTGCTTGCCACATAAGTAATTTGTGAATTCATAACGGGTTTTCTCTAGATTTGTAATTGTTAGACACTTTATTCCATTTGATTATTACTCCATTATTATTAAAACAAACTATATCTTCGATATATAAGCTTTACTTGTTTACTTTTTTCTGCAAACTCAGGTATGTTATCGGCTATGTTATGATGGGGCCCTGGCTAGAATAGCTGGCCCTGTCTAGCTCGCTCTCTCTCTCTCGTAGCAAAACGCCAACTTAGTGACGAGGCCCATCGTCTCCCTTTCAGAGGAGCGAAAGAGCCTCCCTTACCTTCCCTTTTAAATAATTTGTGACACGGCGCTTTGGCACGGACCCTTGCATGGCTCGTGGAAGTTATTAAAAAGGTAATTCCCCAAAACGCGTTAAATTTAATCATTAGTGTCACAATGTATATAGAGAAGATATTTTCTAACTGCAACAAGGACTTTTTATATAATATTTAAATACTCTGGGCTCATATATGCATTACTATACTACAGATATACGAAGGTCGTTTGAAAAGTACGTGCAAAAATGAAAACTACTTATTTTTTTTTAATAAATCATTTTTATTTTTCAACGTAGTCTCTTTTCAGGCGTATACACTTTATTCAACACTGCTTTAGTTTGTTGATCCATTTCAAATAGTAGGATTTGTCCAAGTTTGTAAAATAGGCATTCGTTCCTCGTTTGAATAGTCTTTTCCCCGCCAGCCATTTTTTCATATTAGAAAATAAATCATAGTCCGCCGGAGCCAAGTCTGGGGAATAGGGGGAATGTAAAATGAATGGTCTTTGTCTTTTTTGATACAGATTTCCTCTTGGTAACTTATTGTTTAGACTGTTCTTTGGTCTTAGGAGTGTATTGATGCATCCATATTTCATCCACAGTGATGAAATGACGCTGAAAGTCCTGTGGATTTCGCTGGAATAGCTGTAAATCGCTCTTGCAACACTGCACATGATCTCATTTTTGGTCAATCGTGGGCATCCACCTAGTGGATAGCTTTTTCATATCTAAATGTTGATGCAAAATATTATGTACCCGTCTGCTCGAGATACCTGCAGCACTAGCAATCTTACGCACCTTCACTATCTTCTGTCAGTCATCACCATATCATGGATTTTATTAATGATTTCTGGAGTGGTGATCTCAATATAGGGCGACCAAAACGTTCAGCGTCTTTTGTGCTCATATGGCTATGCTCTAAAAATGTTGAAACCACTTATAAATCATTCTAATCGAAGGTGGACAATCACGATAATGTTTTGTCAAGCTGCTGTATAGTCTCCTTTATTGAAGTAATGTTTAATCAATATATGCGAAATTCTTTTTCGTCCATTTTGTCATAATCACTCGATTTATTTGATTTAAACGAATGTTAAACACAAAATAATAGACCGATCGGCGATCTGTTTCGTTTCGTTTCGTTTTAATGGCCGTGGATGCTTGAGGACTCCGATGCCCACAATTTAAATTAGAGAAATCGGCGATCTTGCTGAAATTTGGCGTGTGCTCTTCCAAGATATGCAGCGCCATCTCTCAGACTTTGTACAGACTTTTCAAATGACCCTCGTAGGTCTGAAGTTATATATCATATTAAATATTGCTTAATGTTATACTCAATCGTACCCAATTTATTCAAGCAATTTTATTATCACATAAACGATATTTCTAAATGTTCCGCTGTATACATAGGATCGGATCAACGTAAATATTTATAAAGCAATTAAGTTTAAAAGCCTTACGATACTGATATAAGTTTTTCTCTGGCAATAAATTGTGCCTTCAGACATACTATTTTTTATAAAAAAAATATAGTCTTTGCAGGTTTATCTTATCTTAAGTGTTATTCGCTTCAGTCAGTTGTGAAGATGCTAAAGAAATTGATAGTAAATCACTAGCTATATTAAGTTTATATACTTTTTCTATATACAATGAAAGCAAATAGAAAATAGAATCTGGTTAAATATCGAACTTCTTGCGTTACCAAATAAATTTGATACAAATAAATAACACTTATCTAGGATGACCAAAAAAATGATATAAAATGTTTTAATCCATTTTCCTTTTGAAATATGTAACATTTTCATACTCTAGTTACAGCTTTAATGGCGATTGATTAAACAAAAAGTTTTACTCGTAATTAAAATATGAACTAATTTTTAATTTATTATTAATTTCTAACGAAAAATGAAGACTGATTCAAAGTTTCCATTGAATTTTAAAGTACGTCGAACGTACGTTACATTGTTTTTGCAAAATAAGTTTGTACGATATGCAAACGCTCGTCAAGTGAGTATCGTTGTTTCCTTCGCGACAGCTTTTACTTAAAAGTTAGTTGGCGATTTGTAGAGTTTACAACACGACTTTAAGTTTCGTTAAAGAAATTTGTAACAATACTATGTCTTATTTATTTAACTGTCGTATTTACTCCAATAAGCGTATATACGTATTTGTTCCATAAAAAATTACTAAATCATGGTTATTTATTTATGTTGATTATTATATTCAAGTATGCATGTTAATTTCTTTTTATTTTGTAAAAGATGTCTTTCCAAACGATTCTCGTTTCATACTTAGTGATCAATGTTTGTGTTTCTACTTTATACTTTTATATTTAAATGCGCACTAGAAAGTTGAGAGCGTTATGTTTGGATTTTTGAAAAAATAAATTATTTTGAAATAATATTCGAAGTTGTAAAAATTACTTTAATTAATATTTCTTACAGTTTTCATATTTGTTCAAGAAAAATGGTGACATTTTTAAGAAAACAATTTTTCCTAGGCACACATATCTGTCACAATGTAATTGAAATTATAACAAATGAAACAGATTGATTGAATAAGAAGCTTTAATAATTTGTTAAAATAGTTAGTTTTTAAATTGGATTTTATGTTGTACGAGATTTCGGTATGCTATAAAATAATATTAAATTAATGCTTATGATTGTATTATACATCAGTTTTTTTTTAACGAGTACCTATAAGTGATTTACCCGAATCATCAAAAGAAACATTATAATTACGGATATTTCTCAGGAGCAACAAAGATATCAATATAAGCAGAAGGTAGAAAATATAGAGTGAACCGGTGGGGAGAGGGTAAATAGAAAGAGATACCATGAGCCGAGATGGCTCTGACTCCTCTTCTGCACCGCTAACGTCAGAGTAATAGTATTGTTGCCACTGTTGGTGGCGTGGCTGCGTAGTGTATGCAGAAGCCATGAATGGCGTCGTTGGCTTGCCAATCGTTCGGACATCGAAACCAAAATTTCAAGTCAGTGCTGACAACTTTTATCCTCATTATATTTATATATTCCAATTGTCAATTATCTTGTGTTCGCGTTTTCATCGAATCCTAGAGACAGTCAACAATTTGCGGCAATTGATTCGACGATATGATTGTAAATAATGAATTTCATCGAGACGCGTGGCTTGTTGCTGATGCCCATCGTTTACCGCGAGTTACACTTTTGCTGTACAGCTGCCGTTGCTCCGAAGTTTTCGTAACTCACCAAAGCGCGAGAGAAAGCGCTTTTATCTTTCTTTCATCCGCGGATCCTCGTCTTTGGGCTTTGCGATGAAGCTAATCGAACTGTGCTTTCAAGAATTTCATTCTCGCCTTACGTAATTTTCATTTAATACTTACTATGGGGAGCTCTAAATTTCAAAACATAACCTTTAAATTTAACTACAATGAGAAATCTAGAGTGAAGACAATGCTTTTCAACTGTATCAAATATTTTATATTTATCATTATTATTATTAGAAAAAAACACTTGTTGCCATATTTTTATTATTTTTTGAAAAAAATGACCAATATTTACATTATTATCTTTATTATAGAATTATCTTTATTTAATTTCAATTTTATCTTTTTGTCTTATTTCATTTTATTAATTGTAATTTCAAATTTCAGAAACTTTAAATATAGTGATGGATTCCGAAAAAGATGTTATGCATTGCTTAGTATGCAATAGCAAAGTAGGATCATCATTAAGAACTAGCATAAACATTTTTGAAGACAAATCTGTAGCCAATCCAAGAAAATCAATTGCTGATATTTTATGTTCTATACTGAGATTGGAACTAAACAAAGATGTTGTTCACTCATCGATGGTTTGCAAAAAATGTTGTAAATTAGTTAATGAGGTACGTTACATTTTATTCTATTTGTAATTGAGAACTTGGATAATTTCATTGCAGACTTGTAATCTATAGCTTTACTTCATAATTTATTAAATTTTACAAGAAAATTTTACTGAAAGATTCAGACTTATAAAAACATGGTTTTTTTACTATAGTTTGAAGTAGTTAAACTTATTTAATTTTATTTTCCATGTAGATAAAATATTGATGACTGTTTTGATTAATATTTTGTTTATTTATTTTAAGGCTGATGAATTGCAAATAAAATTGTCTGGCATAAAATCAGAAATATGTAACTTATACAACAACACATTAACAAAATTTTGCACGAATATTGTACAAGAAGAGGAGTTTAATGATCACGACTATATAGATTGTACAGAAAGTGATAAGGCAGAATTCAGTTCTAAAGTATCAGAAAAAGCTAAAGAAATTATTAAGAAGAAAAAGAAAGTTACCATTTCGGAACCATCTATAACCTTGCAGGTAATTTAACATTTTTTACACTTTATATTAATTCATTTAGTTTAGTAATTAACTTATGAGATAATTTTATTTAAGGTTGATGTGAATTCTGAAGATGATGAAGTTTTATCAGATATTTCCAACTCTGAGCTTTCCAATGTTAAAAAATATGAGGAACAGAGTGATGAAAATATTACCAATGATAGCATTTTTGACAATCACTTTGATGCTACTTCTCCTGGCAATGACTCACAGATAGAAGAAGTCACGGAGAAAAAACCTCCAGCTAAAAAACAAAAAGCAAAAGTAAAAGAGGAAACGTATGAAGAGGTAGAAATTATATTTGCATTAACAAATTTAGAGACTTCAATTAAATAGTATAATTATAGTTTTATATATTCCGTTGTTTACAGGTAGTAACAAAAGACGGTGATCAATACATATGTTCCCTTTGTACAAGTGAAGAAAAATCATCTCGCGATGCCAAAAGCATCATAGCTCATTTAAAAGATGAGCACGAAGTACGGTTGTACATTTGCGACATTTGTGGAGATCAATTTAGAAAAAGAACTGATTTATCTCACCATTTAGATGATCACGTAGCGAAAGAAGAAGGCGATTTTCAGTGTGAAGTTTGTAACAGAATATTTAGTAATTTGCGATTGTTTCGTATTCACAAGCGTATTCATTATCCTCAAAATAAATCTTGGCCATGCGAAACTTGTGGTAAAAAGTATAGCTCAAAAAATCTCTTAGATGAGCATACTAACACACATACTGGGAACCGACCTTACGTTTGTGAAATTTGTAATAAAGATTTTGCATCTAAATATACCTATCGCTCTCATGTTAAAACTCATGAAGTCAGGCCAAGACCTTTTGAATGTACAACATGTAAAAAAACTTTCCTGAGTCAGCAAAACTTAACTCAACATGTGAAAACACACAACGGAATAAAAGAATTTGTGTGTCAAACATGTGGTAAGTTTGATTGTAATATTATTACAATAAAAGTCATAATTATGAATTTCAAAGTTTGATTACTCTAATTGAATTGATAGGTAAAGCATTCGGCTCAGCTCATAACCTTGAAGTACATAATATTGTTCATACTGGATATAAACCATATATTTGCAATATTTGTGGCAAAGCTTTTGCAAGAAAGGCAGAAATTCGAGATCACGAAAGAACTCACACGGGTGAAAAGCCTTATCAATGCGAATTTTGTGGTGCAACATTCAGGTTTGTGTTACATTTTTTATTACTTTTAATAATTATTAAATTATAATTTAACATGAATTATTAATATGCTGTTATCTTATTCCCTTAATTTTGTATTAAAATGTGCAGTCAGAGATCAAATTTGCAGTCACATAAAAGAGCGACACATTACAATGATAAACGGTATAAATGCGATGATTGCGGTAAAGGTTTTAAAAGGAGAAGATTGTTGGACTATCACATCAAAGCTGCTCATACTGGCGAACGTCCTTTCAAGTGTGAAGTATGTTCGGCAACATTTGTTTATCCAGAACATTTCAAAAAACACATGCGTATTCATACTGGTGAAAAACCTTATTTATGCGAGGTATACATCAATTGATACTATTACATTAATGCTTTCTTATTCAATGATTTCTTAATCTTATTCAATAATTTCTTATTCATGACTTTGTATAGGTTTGTGGAAAAGCTTTCAATAGTAGAGACAATCGCAATGCACATAGGTTTATTCATAGCGACAAGAAACCTTATGAATGTCTAGTATGCGGAATGGGTTTTATGCGAAAGCCGTTACTTTATGCACATATGCAAGCTCAAGTAATTGCCGAAATATAAATTATAATTTGATTTATTATAATTTTCAAGCCTTTTACTTAATTTTTATATAATTGTAGGGCCATTTGAATGATACTATTGTAGTTAACCAGCCACGTCTAACTACTGATGAGGATGTAATTATTCCAAGCAATCAAGTTCATTTAGTTATGGAAGGTGACGTTGAGCAAGTGAGTATAAATACGGAAAATTTTATACATATATCTTTAATATACTCTATCGATTAACTGATTAAATCGTTATTGCAGCTGGATAATAGTGCTCAGTTAATTGTCACAGATCTGAAAGACCATGTAATTATTCAAAATGGGGACCAGCAAAACGTGCTTAGTCTCGCAGATAGCAACATGAGCAATGAAGATATAGAGCAATTCGTAGCAGACGAACAGGTAAATAAAATAGATGTTTTTAAAAAGAAAGATTGATTAGGCAGCTTTTCAAATTTTACTCTTAACATACAATTATTGTAATGGCATATGGAAGATCCATGTTTAATTCACTTTGTTTTAGTACCTTTTAATTAACTTTAGTGTGCAATTTTTTTAGATTGTTATTAATGTTATAATTTTTAGATGACATTTGAAGGATCTGAATTGCAGTGTAAAACTGAAACTGATGATGGAGTTGAAGAGGTTTACGGCTACCAAGATCTTGACGGAAATACGATAGTATTACCACCGGGCACTGATATCAACGAATTGCTAAGCGATGGAAACAAGTCAATGAGACTGGTACAAATTCGCATACCAACAGAAGCAGTGGGGGATGAAAAAAATTGGTTAAGTTTGGTACAAAACTAATTTTGAAGACATTATTTTGTATTTTTTACGATTTTAAAGTCGTGAAATTGTTTTAATGCTACTATCGACGAAGTCAGTTCAATGACTAATGTTTCGATCTACGAATAAGCTAGTTGTTGAATCTTTTTATCCAGATAAAAAATTTATTCATAAGGATATTAAGTGAAATTGAAGATTTTCAATGACACCTGTACAATTAACTCAAATTGTGCACGAAAAACCTAAAAAAAAATATACAATAAAATTTTGTAGAAAAGTGCTCTTTTGATTTTGAATGTTCAATGAGCCCTCAAAGTAATCGAGCATTCGTTCCACTTTTGGCATTCAAGCTCATCTAGCTTGAGTTTTGTGAAGTTTTACGTCTTTGAGAAATGATTTTTCATCCCTTTATCCAACACTGCCGCGGGTCGTTTGGAGATTTCGAAGAAAGAAGAAACGCAAGAAAACGACGCCTCTCGCGGTGAAGGCGATTAAAAGGCGATTTCGGCCACTCACAGGCATGAGAATTCTCTTTCCCTCTCCCTCTCTCTCTCTCTGCGAATATTATTCACGCGCAATTAAACTTTTAGAGTCGGTGGAGGCTGTCTCTCGCGTAACAATTAATCGTCAAATAGAGAGAAAGAGAGAGAGAGAGAGAGAGAGAGAGAGAGAGAGAGAGAGAGAGAGAGAGAGAGAGAGAGAAAGAGAGAGAGAGACGCAGTCTCGTACCTTCGATTTTCCGTCATTTATCAGATGCATTGTTCCGGAAACCCTTGACGCTCTCTTTCAGAAATGAGCGGACGCCTCTTGTCAACGCCACCGACGATTCCCTTCTCTAACGCGCTTGATGGCAAGGAAGAATAATTAAGCCCGTAAAAGAGACCCTTGAGATTAAAGAATTTCTCGATCTTGAGAGAACGAGAGATTGGTCTTTTTGATGAATAAATTGCTTAAAACATTTTCCATCGCTACTAGTTTAGTTAATAAGTTGACTGTATTAACAGATTATTCGATAACAACAATGAAGCTCACCGAATAGTCGACTAAGTACAAACCGAAAAATTATTTTCTAATAATATTTGCAATGTAAATTAACATTCAATGAAAGTGATGAAATATTTGAAGGAACCAACAAAGAATTCGTTAGTGTGTTGTAAATATCATTGAAGGATGCGTTTTGCTAACGATCTTATTATTTAAACTTGTAATGAACTGGTTGAAGTGAACGCCAACAATTGTCTGAATATTACGAGTTATGCAAAATTAAGATTAACACAAAGAGAGGGAGAGAGCATACAGGAGTGAAGCAGCGGCTGTAGTGGGAGGTCGTGCATATCAGGGTGAACACGTCGGATTTTGAGAAGATAATTGGTAGCAGCTTTGGAATTACGAATGTCTTGACCGCAAGGCGCAAGGCGCGAGCTCTACAAGCGATTAATTAATTGAGCACCTAATTGAATGGCCCTGTATTTTGAATTTCAAGTGCTGTCGATGTTTCTGGCGACAGTCTTTGCCTTCCTCTCTTCCTCTTATCTCTAGCTGGGTTAAATCACTTCCTTCACATTTCCCGTTGAATCTTTCAATATATTTTTTTATCTTTTAAAGACGCCAAAACGAAACAGATATATTAAAGCTTCTCTTCGTGATAATCGGTCCAACGTTATTGATTTCATATTTACATCTCTATTGACTTATAAAATCAATTATGAAATGAAATATTCTTAGAAACCAATAGAATATATGAAGAATTCAATTGTAAATATTTATCCTCCTTATAATATTCATGGCTTTGCTACATTATTCATTTTCTGAATGTTGCTATTTCCAAGTATTTGCAAATGGATAAAAAATATTGCGAATGTAAAAGAAATGGTTTTGTTCTAAACGTAACAAGCAAATGGAACATTGTTTATCGTTAATATTTCCTATTAATTAATAATCGATATCGTTAACTAATATCAAGAATGAAAGTAGGCAAATGAAATTTTGTAAGAAGGTTGGAGCACAATTCAATAAGTAAAAGTAAATTGAATATGCTAGTAAGCAAGTTTTGTATATCTGAAATTGTTATAGGATTCCCTTAGACGGCGCTGTAAAAAGTTTTGTTAGTATAAGGTTGCAGAACAATCATGCCATATACCTAGGATGACGATCTAAGACTGCTGTGCTTATAAACTATTCATCCAACATAAAGGAGGTATAAAGACAACCGGAGTCGGTCTTTTGAATTTGAATGGGAAACTTTTGAAAGTACCATAGTAAAAAGCACCACAGCGGTTTTTGATAAATTGGACTGGGCCACTAATTAGAGACGCGAGAAACGAAAGTTTTAGCACGAGGTAGCGAAGCGGTTGTGCGTTATCGCGTTGGTGATTGGATGGAAATTTGACATTTTGGCACAATCAATAGGAGAACAATGTGCGTTATGAGGGTGTCCTCACAAAGAGGACTATGTATGAGGCGAAGAGTGGATGAGGCTTGGTCGAGGGCCGTTTTTATGCCAGCAGTTAGTGCGAAAGCTTGTTAGCTCGCTCGAGAGCCTCGCCAAATTAATGATCTGTACTCCTCTCTGTTTCTCTCCTCCTCCTCCTCCTCCCCCCTTCCTGGTCTGCCACGTCTTACTGGTGGTTACACTGTTACGAGGCATTATCGGGACGCAACGACGCATGGATATACTTTTATCAAAAGTGCAGTTTCTAACGAGGCAATTGGAGCAATCGCTCGTGGGTTGGTGCGCTTGAAAGCGCGCAAAAGAATAATTAATACTGCTGGCGTTGGTTATGACAGTACAGTATATATGCTCTCTTGTCTTGAGCACCGCGACGTAGTACCATATACCGTTTGAAGAGCGATCAAGCGCCGCAGACTGCCGTCCGAAAGGGGAGACAGCTCACTCGGGTTTCTTCAGCTCCTGTCAGCGATCGAGTCCATGATCAATTATTCCCTGGCAAGTTCATCATTGACTAATACAATGGGCTCAGTACCGAGCCTACCTCCTTCATTTTTTTAATTGACTTTCGAGCGATCGCCCCCCCCCCCCCCTCCTCTCCACCTCTTTATCTCTGTCTGGACTCCAGAAGAGCCAATTCATCCACTTTATCTCCGGCAATTCAATCGTAGATTTCAATCTGAGGACAAGCTTGTCGTCTGCAGAGCTACTCATTTGTTCTCTCTATAATTTCATGCCCTTTCAAAACGTCCATTTCCTAGCTTTTCTTTTTCTCATATTTACCCTGTAGCTCCATTATCATTGCTATATCTGTATCCTATCACCTATTATCAGCCGATCTTTTCTACCTTTGGCTACCTTCCATCATTACGTCTTCATCATAATTCGTTTTTTTCTATCCAACGCTTGCTAATTGCACTTCAGCTTTTTCATCAGTCTCTGAACTTCTATCAACAGCTTACGACTGCAAAATGGCACAGTTAACGCTATAGCTTGCTTTCAAGTATGAATTCAAAGGAAATAATTATGCTCAAGTTTAGTATACTTGCTCCCAGTACTAATGCCGTTCGAAAATAAATACTTGGAGCTTATCCTTGTATTTTTTGCCTTTTTTGACAGACACAGCTACAAAGCATCAACGGTACTGGATGTTGGGTAAAATGCATAAATTTATCTGGAATTAATGTCGAGATGGTGGAAATATTCGATTATGTTTGAGTCCTGCTACGGATTCTCGGGTAATTTTTTGGTTTGACAGGACGAAAAAAACGACGTCAAGTGAACGGCGGGGAGAAACGCGTTTAGCAAGGGGTGTCCCGAGCTTGTTTTTTTTGTTTCAACAGCCGGACGGGGAAACCTCAGGGGAAATGCAACGTTTGCAGTGCTGACGGAAAATCGAGAAAGGGGAAAACAGCGTGCAAGAGAAACCGTTGTAAGCATAAAAAATTTTTAATAAAGCGATGCTGGCTGGACAAAAGTCTCCCCCTGCATGCCAAAATTAAAGTGCGTCAAATGCTTGCGCTTTGTTATATTCACTCTCGTCAATGCAATATGCTAGATCGATTTTTACAAATCAATTCAAATTTGATGTTACGAATGCCGCATTGTTTTGTTTTTGCTACAAAAATGTTTCAGAGGAAATTCGAAAAATGTGTAAAAAGCAATCGACCTTTGATCCACTTCAGTCATTAACAATAATGCATTACTGACGCAATCGGTATGAATATTACAAAAGTGTAACTCAATAGTATTTTCTTACTTTTATTATTATTAAGATGGAAAACATGGAATAGGGATTAATACGAGTAAAATCGCAATTCACTCATATACCAAATGTTTTTACAAATAATTAATTGATTTCCTACTTCAATCGAAGGTATATTTTTATAATGATCTTTATACCTGTATGACTAGTTTTTAGATAATATTGTATAATTTGGTTTGATTTTTAGACAATTTCAAGTAGGGTGCAAGTTCAAAATTTTCTCGCTTTGTCATTTTATGGGACATCTAAAACTAAAAAAGAATTTTGTCGATCACCGAGGATACCCGTGACACCAATTTTTCGTTCACAGAAGAGCTAAACTCCATAAGGAAAAAGAAAGGTAATTTATCAAAATTTCTACAAGTTAAAATAAATTGAAATCCATATCTTGATTTATTCTTTACTCAAAATGTTAACCCTTTCTAAACTTTGATTATTGTAGAATATTTTTAATTGCGGTATTATTTATCGTATATTAGTGTTTATGAATTTTCAAGAGCTCTCCAAAATTCAACGGTATTTTCTAGACGTCAGTTTGGTTATCACACTTACTAATATTTTTTGTCGCAAACGTAAAATTATCATTAAATTTTCAATTTTTTTTTTGAGAATCGGGCCGCACAGATTTCACCGATAATGATCAGTTGTAATCTAGGGAAAAATTTTTCAAGACTCCATTGTTGATAATTTTGTCAAACCATTGTAAACCACAACCAATTTTGCCCCTCGTACAAGAGTACGGCCTTACTTTGATCGATTAATGGCTGATATCTAATAATCTAATTTTTACAAATAATCCATTATTTTATATATTAGAGGTTTTTAATATATTTTGTAATAAACTGCTTTTTATTTTAGAAGATCGAGAACAAATTGCAGTCATGAATTTTCTCTTTCCACTCTGCTAATGATTGCTGTTCTTCAATTATTGCATTAAACTTTCGGGTATTCGGCTAGCATGAGCATTTTAAAATAATGATTGCTTTTTGAATAGGTGGACAATATAAATCTACTAAATTTAAACGGTCGTAACTTTTGCTCAATAACGTACTTCTGAA